CTTGCTTCCTTCCTTCCTTGGTTCCTTTCTTGTTCTTGTTCTCTCTCACTCTCTCGCTCTCCCTCCCCCTGAGCGCCACGCACTTTCTCCCATTCACCCTGCGCCTCGCGCAAGGATATGCAGGGAGAGTCTGTCTGTGTCATACTCGATCTTAATTGTTGCATCGCAATGTGAGGTCAGTGCTGCATTGCTTGAGTGTTCTCTTCAATCATCAGGCTGGTAAACTACCTGAACATAAGGCAATCCTGAAACAACGCAATCCATGATGCCGGCTTTGCACGGTGGCTTGATGATTGGCAACCTCATTCACCTTGCTTTCCTCTCTCCACCTTGCAAAGGCAGACCATTCAGCAGCCACTGAGATTCATCTAATCGTTGTCAATGCTCAACCCTAAATCTACGAAGCATAATCTTTACCATCATCATTTAGAGGAAAGGGCAACACATGCAAAATATTGCAAAATGTTAGCCTGTTTCCAGCAATCAAAGTGGACGTCTGGTGCCTGTTCCAGGATCGTATTCGTCCACAACCTCGAATCGTCCTCCATTGTTAATAAAAGGGTAGCGCACATTGACCCAGTGAGGGCTTCCGAATCTCTAAGCAGAACATCTTCTGTGTTGGCCATCATGGGTCTAAAGCAACTGGCGTAAGAAGCTATGGGTCTGTCTCCTATCCCCCCCGGCTTCGCCTATATATAGCTTCAAATAAAACGAAAGGACACAAACCTCTTTTGGGGTTCCCGTAGTTTGAGGGCACACTCGCAAAGCGAAGATTCCATGAACATGCACCTTTCAAGCTAATGGACAAGCATAAAGCAAATGGCCAGAAAGGACGCCAACGACTTGCTCATTGCTGCAAGGAAAACCGTTCACCAGAATTGCAGTGCTCCTTTTGTATGCGGATGCTCGACCTGCATCATGGACAATTTCTTGGCATGCAAGCGTGGCCGACTTCTGTAGAGAGGCAAACCGCACCCACGCGAATGTTCAGGTCAATGACTACAGTTGCTTGCCGAACCACTAATGGCGGATACTGGGGATGTTACCCCCAAGGCCGCTAAGATAAACTGAAAAGGTCCTCCAGCTGGGGTTACATCCTTCCCGCGGTCAGGCGCAGCGCCTATTTGAATCGGGCCCGTGGCAAAGCATGAAACAACTACCACACGCTTGAATAAACCAAGAGGCTTCGTACTTACAGCAGCAACCTGAAGCTGGAAACGGAACAAGAAGGGGCAATCAAGAATATGTTCGCGTGAGTCTCACGTAATCCGTAAGGACAATGTGACTATGTTGAAGCACCAAACAAACTGATGCAGTACGCCGGGACCGCCTCAACATTCTGAACTCAAACTACCCTGAACAAAAAGCAAATCACGGGACCGTCTCAGCATTTTGAGCTCAAACTACCTGTAACAAAACACAAATCACCCATGGCTTTTGGCAACAACCATTGTGTATGGGTAGTTTGACGTCCAGGCATACTCAAGACCCGAAAGGCACCCGGTCACGTCGAAAGAGTAGTTCCCAAAGCCTCGAAACTGACCACTTCAGCTCTGACAGTCCCAAATTTACTCAGTTCGGACCCAGAAATGAAAGGCGAAGCCTTTGGGTTGATGAACAAACTCCTGCACCACTTACAAGGGAATGGGAATCATCATTCCACAGTTTCTTAGGTGGTGCAGGATGTCCATCCACAGTAGCACACCTATCCCAAGCGTTGTTTGTGACACGCATGTTCTTTCAGGCAGGCAACACACTCACCTCGGCAGACTCAGTTTTGCTGCATGCTCAAAGCTCTCTAAATCTTGCTGAGGCGCAGGCAAACCTCTGAAATATCAGTATCTGTCAAACTAATCAAAAGCTGCTTGGCTGCTTGCCGAATCAGTCGAATCTCTTGCGGCTTCATCTGGGCACGCACCCCCTTCGCCCTCACCTCCAGAGTTGGCAGCAACGCCAGCAGAGACTCATCTCCAGAATCTGCCAGCTTCACGCTGGCCCAAATGATGTTTGCAAAATGTTGCGCAGTCATACCCTGCTTAACTTTTTAAACTCTGCCAGCTAAAGCCGGTAGCAAGGCCAGCAGAGACTCCTCTCCAGAATCCAAGAGCTTCGCGCTGGCCCAACAGATGTTTGCAACGGCTTGTGCAGTCATGTCCTGCTTCACCTCTTGGATCCTGCCGGTTAAAGCGGGCAGCAAGGCCAGGAAAGTGTCATCTCCGGAATCTGACAACTTTGCGGCGGCCCAAAGGATGTTCGCAACCTCCTGTGCTTTCATATCCTGCTTCACTGCTTCGACCCTGTCAGCCAATGCTGGCAGCAAGGCTAGCAAAACGACGTCTCCAGAATCTGATACCTTCGCGCTGGCCCAAATGATGTTTGCAACTTCCTGCGCATCCATATACTTTGCTGCCTGCTGGACAGCACTACTGAGCTGCTTCTGTAGGCTTGCCAGCTGCAATGGCATTGAGGAATGCAGCTTTGAAACTGCCCAAAGCGTGTTTGCCACTGCACGTGCATAAAATGTGGGTTCAGCACATGCCTTCTTTGACCAGTCTCCTGTCAAGCAAATCAAGTCCGCAAAAAAAATGGATCATGCTGCACATCATCCATGCCGGCTGTCAGGCTGCGCGGCATCTTTGCAATCTTTGCCCAGGCAGAAATCGAAATCAGGTCTCCCGCTTGACCACTCCCAGCACCTCTGAAGCTGACCGTAGCCTGCGATATGCGCTGCGCAATCACCCTGGGCTCCGTCTGGCCTCGAGTTTTCGATTTTCCTCCGCCCCTCTGGCGACTACGTTCCTGGGCTGCCCTCTGATCCCCTGCAATTGGTTGAACTTGTGGGTTAAATAGAAACCCAACCACTAAGACACCAACTAGCAAAACAAAAAGACGGAACCGCACGATTCGTGGGGGGTTCCGAGGTTCCACCTTCTTCCTCTCCTTCACCTCTCGCCTGGAGCGGCCGAACCGCGACGCCGACCCGCCGGCGAAGGCGTCGTGCTGCAGTTGGCTGGTTAGCCACAACCCGAACAGGCAGAGCCGGCGGCTCATGGCTGCAGGCTGCGTATTCGTCAAGAACTCAACGGGCGCCAACATCTCCTGTGAACCACAGAGAATCTACGGTAGGCAAAGAAATACGTGAATGTCAAGAAAAAACAAAAAACTGCCATGTCCTTACATCTCCCTCAGGCTCCCTCATTTAGGGCAAAAAAATGGATGCTTCCAGCTCCTCGGCTCCCTTCAAACCAGCAAAAGGGGAAAGTAAAAGGTCAGTTCCGGTCGATTTGTGTTGCACGCGAGCTTCTCGACCTCCCTTTTCTGGCGCAGCCTTCAAACGCAATAAGCGACGGACCTGTCCCCTGCTTTTAGGGAAGCCCCTTAAGGTTGGTTTTCAAAGGAAACTAAAAGGAACCCACGATCTGTTGGCTCCCTTATTTTGAGACACACCCAAAATCAAGAAAAACACATGGAGTTATCTTTCCATCGCAGGCAGTGCCTCATTTGCTGTCCCAAGCGCCTTTTGTCTGTCCAAAAGCTCAGAACCACTTTGGTGTTCAAAGGAAATGCACCGAACATCAACTTTAGCACACCAACATACACCAACAATTGGGGATCGGACTTCCCAGAAAAGCACCTTCGCGGGTGAGCGAGCATGATACACCCCTACCTGAAGTCTCCCTGATCCTGGTACTTGGGTGTTCGGCCAAGTTAGTGAGCTGTTGGTAACCAAGGCTACAACCCACTGATAACTTCCCCTAAGTGGGGTTTACCTTGCTGTTTGGGAGTTATCCCCTGATTGGCCAAGCACTTACTAACTTGGCCGAACATCCAAGTAGAGCCTGTCAAAATGCACGCAGATCCTCCCCCCCCCTTGTTCGTTTCTGGCCTGAGGCATGGCGTAGACAGCAGGCTCCTAGCACACAACCACAGACTGACTTGCACGCCAACCAGAGCCCCTAAGGGGTAGCGGATGGTCCCCACATACGACATACCTGATTCTGTGTTTGGGCTGTGGACAGTATTCGACTCACACCCTTCGCGGCCTCGGAAGGGCAGGCATAAAACCTCCGCCTCCCGGAAACATGTATCTAAGATGGTTTCCACTACACCCCAACTACTCACTAACTCGAGGGGAGTTGATGCCGACCCCATGCTCAGTGGCATTTTCCCATGCACGTCCCTCGCGAGAAACCGGTTTCTGGCCGATGACTCTCTCAACAGGTTGCTTGCATCTTTCCCATTTGGTGCGAGGTGGAATTCGCAACCATCCACAGACTTCCCCCTTCCGAGGGAAGCTCATTCGTTTTCGATGGGCCCAAAGGGTGAGCTTTGACGCCATGAAATCGCCGGTCACTTGAACCAGAGGCCCGACTAGCCATAGACTCTCGACCCCGGAGAAATAACAACTCCAACTGCCAGTTGCCTCAGTTGCCGAAAGCAGAGGTACACGAATTCGGGTAACAAACTTGAAAACCAAAAGGGTCAGATCCCGTCAATTCGCTTTGGGCAACGTGCGAAACACGCTGGGGGGGCTACTTTCCCAAGTGAATGATCCGGCCCCTGATTGAAGACACCTATCGAAATCAAGGATGCTTTCTGCCTTTCTTCCAACCAAAACGCTTCCTTCCGGGTTTGGCAACGGCTGGGTAAGTGAATAAACCTCCAGTTGCGAATACGTCACCTGGCAAAGATTAAACATTTTTTGCCAATAGTGAGATTTCCTCGTTCTGAAGCAAATCCACCTTTAACTTTCCAACTAAAAGCAAACAAACGTGCGCCTGGTAAAAAGGGGGAATCGCGTCATTTGTTTGAGCCATCCTCCCTCGGTTTTGGGTAGCTTGAGGCCTTGTTTGATGGTTTCAACGGAAAGCCAGAAGGAAAACCCAGCCATTTGAGGGGCTTCCAACCTCCAAGAAGCCACACCAAGCTGGAAGCCGCGCCCCTTCGGTACGGCGACGTCCGATTTTTGTTCGCCGTCCTTGGGCACCGCCTTGAAGACACAGCCCACCTTCGCGAATTCTTCGCTGCCGCGCGGCACCTGAAGCAACATGGACGCGAAAGGAAACACCTCGGGCGTGGTCAAAAATCGGCTGGACCCACAAACTTCCCAACAAACATGGGGCATTTGCACTTTTTCCCCCACACAAAATGGGTGAGGCGAAATTAGGGTGCCACAAACTACCCGGCAACAATGGGTTGCCCCCCAAATAATGGTTGGTGACTTCCCTTTTTTGAGCGGTAGTTTGAGAGCCCAGGTACCCAACATGGAACCCTGGTACATGGAGACAAGGAGTAAAACCAGGTGGCTTTCTGGTGGCCTAATTTTGACCCATGCCCATCGCACTTCTTGAGTGGAGCGCCAAAAACACACGATTGTTGTCAGTTTCTCTATGTCAAATCAGTTCACATGGTTTTGTCTTCTCAGTTCTGCCTCTTGTTCGTTCTTGCCGTCCATGTGTACTTTCTTCTTTTGTGTGTTCCTGGACCCTCAAGCTACCCTTGATCAAGGGAAGCCAACCCATTTTTGGGCCGACAAGCAATTTTCATGGGTAGTTCTTTTCATGCCCCGACTAAAAAGGGTTGCCCCAGAATAATGGGTTGGGTGATTCCTTTTCTGTGGCTTGAGGGTCCAGGAGCATGTTTGTTGTTGGAAAAAACGAAAGGGACGCGCACCATTTTGGGGGCTCCCTTGTCTTACCACTGCCTGAGTTCACTCTTGTGGACCATTTTTGTTTGTGGACCATTTTAGTGGCAAACACAAACAAACATACAAACAAATCGATGGACAGGCAGACAGACAAACAAACGCAACAATGTTTAAGGGCGTAAAGTGGCTGAGTGCTTGTAGCCCAGGGAGCTTGTGCACGGAATTTCTTCTGACGCAAAGGGTCGGGAAATCGTTAGGAACAAATGACACATGGGTCTGTCTCAAAATAGGGAACCTCCAGATTGGTGGCTTTTCTCATGTTTCTCTTTAAGACCACCAAGAACAGGATACGCTAAAAATGCACAGCCTTGCCACTTTGCAAATTATCCAATCGGCCCAAATGTGACGAGTGTCTGGACCCTCAAATGAAGCACAGTATACGTATACTCCTTTTGCCTACAAGGGGCAACTGCATTAATTGACAGACCCATTTCAACTTTGCTATACACCCGAGGAGGCGTTGGGGGTATAGATGCGCCCTTTGAGGATGCAGGAAAAGACACACATTCCGGCCAGGGCATCAAAGTGCAAAGGGCTGGGTGTTGGCGGCATTTATAATTCTGCATGTACAACAATCATGAGCCTGAGGAAACATATATCTGACATGATTGTGACTATTTCATCAAACAATCAATCACTCTGAAAGGTGATGCCAGTGATTCTTGTTGTCTCGATCTCGCAGGATTCAGGAAGAAACCCTCCATTTGCTTCAGTTCCGTGGAACACAAAACAATATTTTTCCAGCAGTGATAGATTCCCTTTGCACCCGACAGGGGCAAATAACAAACAATATTCGCAAAAGGAAGAAACGCAGCCACCCCCGAAGCCCCAGGGGTCAGTGGCTAGACTTGAAGAGAAGCCGTCACATGATGAAATGGCACGCAAGAACACAAACTCTTCAGCAATCTCCACACTAGTTGAGCTTCGAACAGGGAACAGCATAGACATTGCCGATAGCTAAGCAAGTTTGAGGGTCCAGGTAGACAAGTTGAGTACCAATTGTCCTGATTGTTTGTACAAAATGGGCTCTGGGCTCTGCTAACATGCCTAAAGTATTTCGGTGCTTTAAGGCTATACTATGAAACAGATGGACAGACCTGCAAAATGTCCCGATCATATCGGGTTTGTCAGCCGTGAATAGGGTGAAAGTGGTCCAACGTTGGTTTCCCTACCAAAAAAACATACATAAATCGCAAGAAACTTAAAAGGCGTCCCCTCCCCTGAACCAACATTTGAGAAAAACACAAACACACACACACACAACAAAAAGATCCAACCGGAAAAAATAATTAACAACATAAAAAAAAAAAAAAAAAAAAAAAAAAAAAAAACTACTAATATATATATATATATATCAAGAACCCAGACTCATTGTGGAAGCCGATGGATTTCCCAAGGCTCCCGATGCCTCGTGGAGCTTCCGATCCTCCATGCCCCGGGTGACCTGGGAGGGAGATGCAGAAGGTGGGACTTCAAGTTGAGTTCACTTCCTTGCAACTGGAAACAAATGGGTTTGGTGATCATAGGATTTGTGGGACATTCTTTCCAAGGATCACATATTTCCATAGGATGTCCTTGTTAGAAAAAAAAAGATGGGCGTATCAACTGGAAAATAGATGGCTTATCATGGATGGGCACAATCATAGGGCTTTTGGAAAAATAGATGGGTTTCCCTGGAAAATGGATGGCATAAAACCCGTCTAAACCAGTGGAACCCATCTGATGGTCTATTTTTAACCAGGCTCACCTAAAAAGGACACCTATGACTGGAAGTTGAATCAACGTCCTGCAGGATTGGGGAAAGGCAGCGCTGTGGTTGACATGGAATCCACTCCTGTGATAAAACAAAAAGGGCCTAACCAAAGACTAACCCCCTCATATAAAGAGGGATTCCCTGGTATCACAGAAGTGGTTGGACAAACCCCTTCATCCCACAAACCTGAATGGCAGGGATTGGACAGAGCCGCCCTCCCAGCACATTCGTCACCCCGGCGATCAGCTGCTGACGTTGCCGCGACTGTGGTTGATGGGGGCGGCGTGTCATTCTACCAGAGCCCTAAAGGTCGTTAAGGGTGCCTTGTGAGGCCCAGTGGATCCCAGTTGCCGCTATAGCAGCCATCCAATTTCCTTTTGTTGTTCATTCGTTGCTTTGATTCTATGCAGGGAAATGGAACCACTGGGAGGATGTGCCAAATCACCTCTGAACCTGGCCGGAGCGCGAAAGTAATGTTGCGCCACAAACCGATAGGCGAGGGATACAAGAACCAAACATGTCTGCTTCAACACCCCGAAGGACACTACAAAACAAGTAAGCCATAATCAAAACCCGGCCATGTAAACAACTACCAAGGCGGCCGCAGCTATTTATGGTTGGGATCGCCCCTTACTAACTTTCACTTACCCGGGTATTGATTGTAGCACAAGTGAGCTGCCAGGTTTTGGCGGGTGTCTGAGAAACCAGTTTCCGAGTCAACGCGGCTCATCCACGATCGGCAGGACTCATCTGCGGAGCCCCGACCAGACATTGAACCAGAGGTCGCTCAGAACATCTGATCAGCTTCCCTCAAAAAGGGTGGTTTGGAGCCCGGGAATCGCTTCAAATCCAAATCCAAACCGCCAATCCGAACAATCAGTTGGGAATAGCCTGAAAAGTGAAACACTATCCACTCCACGCCTCTCACCCCCGTCACCCCTCACCCTGCACCCCCCCAATCCCCCCACCACCGCCCCCCCCCCCTTTCCAGGGCTCAAAGGAACACCAAGACCAAGACCCGAGCCTCCGGGCGAATCGATTTCTGGGAGCCCGCGCCCATCTCCTTCGAAGAGGCTCCGGGTGGAAACCTCCAGCGATGGCTCCGGTGGCGAAGGCTTCGGCGTGACGAGGCGACCAAAGTGACCCCTGGGTCCTCCGACTACCCGACGAAGAAGGGTTATTCCAACCCAAACAAATGGGTGGTGATTTCCGGATGTTTCTTTTTTGGTGGTAGTTCGAGGGTGCATGCACTCAACGTGGGACATCTCCAGTGGATTGTTTCAAGGCAAATGTTGGCAAATGTAGGCAAATATGAGGAATAGGCAAGCGCCTTTGGGATATAAATATGTGTCTGGGAAAAGAGTCATGTCGTTTCCCAAAAGTCTCAACCCAGCGAGAGTTGGTAAAGCGTTCGCTGTGCTGATCCCAGCAAGTTATCCAAGTATGAACTTATCATATGGCTTTGGGTCAAAACCCAAATCGTACCCCCAGTGAGCATCCCAATCCAACCACTAAACACTCTAAAATGGGTGGTGCACCGAAAACCCCCAAAATGGGATCCCAAAACCCAAAACGGTTTTGACCCACGGCCATATGGGGTTCTCGAGATGGGCAGGCGCTCCAGATTCGATAAAGGTGCCCTACGTGGCAGCTGCAACCTCCATTTGCTGAAGTCCCCTGGAAAAACAATGAAAATATTTCCAGTAGTGATAGATTACCTTCAAAACCAACAGGGGAAAATACAAAATACTCTTACGCAAACGGACGGAAAAGGCATGGACTATCAAGGGTTCTCATTGCTCTGTTGACAACCAGAGCACCACACTCAACGCAGATCAGATAGAGGTACGAGGGTGAAGAACATCATCCTACAAACAAAACGCCACTCTCTTTTCATTTTGTTTCGGGGGGGAGTACAAGAACTAGCTTTTTGACTATATCAAACGGGGAAGCCTCAACAATATGTGTTTCCTTGTGATGTACCTCCAAACCAACTTGCAAAACACACACCCAGGGAGTCTCCTTCTGCCCTCCGTCAAAATCACTTACCAACGAGGGACGCCTGCGCTTCAAAAATGGGGTCATTACCCAAACGAATGGGGTTCTGGCAACCCATGTTTGAGTCGGGTCGTGCCTCCAGGTAGACAATAAGGAGAACCCTCAAAAATCGGTGCCTGCCTTTTTCCAGAAGATTGCCTAAACATCAGTCACAGTTGCTTGGGAAAACGTCCACTGCAGATCCAGGCGTGTTCGTTTGAATTTCCTTTGAGCCGACCTGAAAAGAGCACCCGGAACAAACACACACAGACACACGCTGGCAAATGGCTAAACCAGCCAGTAGGTCGCTTAAGAATCCATTGCACAGCCAGTGGGAGGGGGATCCCTACCAGAATAGCGAGGTGGGGCTTAAGGTCCCCCAAATCCATTTCCGAATCTTCCCGAAGAGAAAATGGGTCGTCCCCAATGGAGATCTCCAGAGATCGAAATCCTCCCTCCCCCAATCCCACAAAGGCGATCTTTTGGAAAAATAGATGGCATAGGTAAATGCATCTAAACCAGTGGAACTCATCTACGTCTATTGCAATTAACCAAAAAAGGACACCTGGCCTAGTGTGGATGGCTGCGAAATCCATATCCTACACCATCCTTCAGAAACCCCTAGTTTCTGCTCCGATTCCCCCACGTAAATAGCAAGAAGCATCAAAGTTCTGGTAAATACCAACGCAAATACCTGGTTGCTGTTGACCCCCCTGCACAAAGTGTATTCATAACTTTTTTGGGGGTTTAGTGGAAAACGCCTTGATTCCCAAAAAAGTTAAAGTCTAAAGATCCAACCCAATAGCCAATAGCAGTCAATAATACCGAGAAAGCGTTTTAGTTTCCTTTCGGCTGGTGGGCGATTTCCACGGATCCCTCCCGCGTCTTCCGCTCCGCGGCGCGGTCTTTGGGCCCCCGGGCCCAGGTAGTCCTCCGCCTCGAGGCGCTCCTCCGAGAGCCTCTCGCGCCAGGACCGCTGGATGTGCGCCTGTCGCACCCGAAGCCGCGAGAGCGTCTCGGTTTCTCGCTTGGCACCTTAGGGGAACGGAACCTGGGGGTCTGAGTCGATTTCCCGGTAAATTCCAACGGAAAATGGTGTCAACCAAGAGTTTCGTCCACTTGCTTGGGTCGCCCAGCTAGTGATTTGTTGGACACCTTTTGGTTGTAACCCACTCACTTCTAAGTCCACCGTTCAGTTGGGTTAACCTTGCTAGTAGGGGGTGAAGAACCCCAATTGGCTACCCACGTACTAACTTGGCCGAACATCCAAGTAAGGAACCGTGGTTTCTCATCCGATTCCCCTGTAAGCAACGCACAATGGTTTTGCCCCTGAAGATTGGCGCCGAAGTGCACCTTTAAAGGATGACCCAGGGGACATAAGGGCGTGTCCCTTGATTTTTGCGGCAACCCCTTTTGGGGTTGTTGTCTATATTTTTTTCTGGCAAAGTAAGAGGAAAACCACTCCCATTTTTTGGTGAGGGGCCCTGTCTGCAAACACTTTGCGGGCGCCGGGGGCCCTCTATGGAGGCTAACCTGAGCGGCGCTGGTACCAGTTGAACCTGTCGCACTCGGAACAAACCTCTTTTGTTCCATGGACGTGACGCGGACCCTCAGACTACCAGGTTATGGTTGGTGAAGTCCCATGTTCATGGTGCATGGGGATCTTTCTGCAACCCATTTTGCGGGAAAGTCGCAACTTCTCGCCAAACTCCTCATGGGAACCCTCCTTCAAGCTGCGCGCGTCCGCGCAGTGCAGCCGGTGCGGCGCCCGGTGCCCGCCTCTGGCCCTGCTTCAGACAGCGTGGCGTCAATGAGACGCGGCAGGCAGTCCCTGGTCAGCAGCGACCTCAGATCCAGTCAACCCATCCGATTCCCATAAAAGGCGGGCCAGCTCAAGGGAGCTGCTTGTCCACAGAAAAGGACAAATGGGTGCGCATTTGCTTGGAAGTGCAAAGAAAACTCAGCCGTCCCCCATTGCCCATGTCGGTCTGAGTCTTAATAGGGGACCCTTTGATGGACATCACTTCGGTTGGGATTCATGTCCACCCACCTTTGAGGGGGTTCCCTAAGATTCGCAGCTCGGAGGGTTGGGCAGATTGACCTGGAAGCCACCTTGTGTGGGCGGGGGGGGGCTTCGAAAGACGGAGAATTGTCAAGCCGCCCATTAGGTGTTCGTCTCAGAACATGAGTTTCAGACACACTCCATTTCGGTCGGTGTGTGTGTGTGTGTGTGTCACAGCCAGAGTTTTTTCTTCCCAGAAAACACCGATCCCTGCAAGAATGGTGACTACTAACAAAAGCACCCAGCCCAGGACGCGTGACTGCTACCAGAAAGCCAATCACTAAGAGAAACACGCATCTCGGCCCACCAAAAAAACAAATCAAGCAAGCCAGCCAGCCAGCCAGCCAGCAAACAAGCAACTGTCCAACCAACCGACCGACCCACCAGCCAACCGACCAACGCACCCCGTAACCAACCGACCAAGGCACCCACCCACCAACCAACCAACCGACCGACCGACCGACCGACCCACCCACCCACCCACCCACCCACCCACCCACCCACCCACCCACCCACCCACCCACCCACCCACCCACCCACCCACCCACCAACAAGCGACCAACCGAGCAAAAAACCAACCGAAGGATCGACCCAGCACAATTACATCTCAATACATCAACACAGAAGCAGTACTGTAAATAAAACAAGTCAATCAACTAGTTCAAACGAAGCCGTGGATCGATCAACCCCCTCACAACCCCAGTGCAAGTCCAATCAAATCCAATCATTCCATCAGTCAACCAACCAACCAACCAGCCAGCCAACCAACCAACCAACCAACCAACCAACCAACCAACCAGCTAACCAACCAACCAACCAACCAACCAACCAACCAACCAACCAGCCAGCTAACCAACCAACCAGCTAACCAACCAACCAACCAACCAACCAACCAACCAACCAACCAACCAACCAACCAACCAACCAACCAACCAACCAACCAACCAACCAACCAACCAACCAACCAACCAACCAACCAACCAACCAACCAACCAACCAACCAACCAACCAACCAACCAACCAACCAACCAACCAACCAACCAACCAACCAACCAACCAACCAACCAACCAACCAACCAACCAACCAACCAACCAACCAACCAACCAACCAACCAACCAACCAACCAACCAACCAACCAACCAACCAACCAACCAACCAACCAACCTACCTACCTACCTACCTACCTACCTACCTACCTACCTACCTACCTACCTACCTACCTACCTACCTACCACCCCAGCCAGCTATCAATCAAACCAATAAATTCAAATCAATGAGTCAATCAGCAAAATATAACGAATCCATCACAATCTAATCCATGTCATTCCGGTCCAATGCAACCAATGGACCAATCAAGAAAGCCATCAAATCAACCCATCAATGGACATGAAGCGATGTGTCATCACCATTCAAACAAGGCAACAAACTCCACGCAAAGACGCTGGTGCAAAGCATGTCCTCACTGAGATTGCTTTTGAGTCCCTCAGCCAGCCGTCTGTTGCTTCAAAAAAAAAGAGCTTCGGCTTGTCAGGGTCTTAATTTCCCAGCTCCGCATTCCGCACCCGGTTCCCTGAGAACCATTTGGGTCTGTCGGTTTTTTTGAGGTGTTTTCCTGAGGAGCAAGGAATAAGAGTCTACAATTTGGAGCCAAAAAATGGTGTTCGTTCATGATAGTTTTCCAGTAAGCAATAAGATCGACAAGAGACACCCCATCCCACGATCCGAGGCCAAAGCTCCATGTTGTGCTTGTCACCCATTCGGGTACACTGCCCCGTGGGGAGCCGGCCGCTGTTCGCGGTGTAGTACCTGCGAACGGCGCTGGCGAGCCCGAGCTCGGCACAAAATTGGCTGCTGGACCGCGCACGTGGTGGGGCTTCCTTCTTCTGGGCGGTCCATTTTTAGATCTGCTCAAAGTTGAAAACTTTCAGTGGGTTAAATGGACATAAATCAGAAAACGTGAGGGGACGCCTTGGAACCGACAAGTTTCAGCTTGCCTTTAAGCGTAGCATGATCGTTAACAACGTATCTTCAAGAAAACACATGTGGATGGATCAAATCCGCTTCGCATCTGGACGAAACCCTAATCTGGGATCACGCCTGGAATGGTGCTTAGAACCTTCGAAAGGGGTTCTTAGCGTTCTGAGATCCTTTCTGGTGGGGGCGGCACATTCGAGTTTAGTCGGTCTTGGGCAAGAAAGTGCAGTGCTTAGCAAGGATTTCCAGAAGAGATCCCACCAAAGTTAAAGAATGCGTCGCCCGCAGGGAAGCCAGGCAAGAAACCGCGTACCATGACAAAGGGGAAGGAGAGATATCGGCAGAATGGCCTCCAACCGCCATGGGGTGGGTTTGGATACAAGCAAATGGCAACTGTTTTCTCGAGCGAATAGCTGGGGAATGTCTCCCCACAGGCACAAAGTATGCAGCTTCGCCATTGTTGCAGATAGCAAACACGGATGAATAACCCTGTCAATGTTTGGGGGGTGTTCTCTCCAAAAGTGGTCGGAATCCCCACCAAAAGGAATTGGACGACCCCCGATGAAAATCAACCCAAAGACACCCAAAAATGCCCCTCCACAAATCCCCCAAGAGACACCCACCAAAGTAAGTTGCCACTTTTTTGGGGATCCACAAAGGAAAATGGCTCTGACACCCGATCTGCCAAAGTTGGGAAACACCCAGGGCCAATCCTAGGGCTGTTCGCTGGAATGATTCTATCTGGAACACCCTGATTGAAAATGGATGGCAAGCAAAAAGAACAGACAGATAGGAAACACTCAGGGGTCAATCCCATGATTGCTGGAATGATTCTATTTGGAACACCCTCCTTGAAAATTGGTGGCCAAACAAAATATACGGACCGAAGTTGGGGCGCAGGAAACACTTGTTCTCCGTCCCTGTGGCAATCAACTTCTCCAGGCGCTCCCGAGCTGTTGAGTACACCTGGCTCTTTGGCTCTTCGGCGTGCTCGCGCATTTTTTTCCGAGAGACTCACCCCGAGCACCACAACCAAAGGGTGGCTCGTCTTTTTCGGGGGAGGGGACCCTCAAAATAGTGGGTTGTCCTTTTGGTTTCCTTTAAAACCGGCCAAATGTGAATGCCCCTGAAGAAAAAGCGCAATCAAGTGGGTTTGTCTGCAAGCGCACACCCAAAATAAGTGGTTCCCCTTCGGCTTCCAATAAAAAACAAACCAATAAAGGGGAAGGAACTCCCTTACAATAGCGGCAATCAAGTGATTGAGACACACCTAGGGACCCCTATTTGTTTGGGTACTTTACTGATTGGGTGCTCCTGGACTCGATGTTCAACTTGGAACTCTGAAAGGCCCGAGCTACAATTTGACACCATCAATTTGTCCATTGCTTCGTACCCACGACCAACAACACATTTTTTGTTAAACCAAACAGAAAAAACACAAGAGGGTGACTGTTGCGAGTCGAGTCTGGTTTAGCTCCGAGATCTCCGAATTCAAAGAGGTCGGAGTAAAGTTCGCAAAGGACTTGGTCTGAAAAATTCGGGCAATGCCACCCGCCAATCCAACCACCGCTTTGCAGCACCAAGGGACTCTTGGGACCCGGGTGGCCTTGGCCTCATAGCTCTTCCCCGGTCTATGGCAACAAAAAACCCATCGAAACCAGTGGAACCCACCTATTTCCAACCAAACCCGCCGTCTGCCACTCCAGGTAAACGGGACAAACCAAGCTAAGCCAATGCCACCGAGCTCCGACCTGTTGGGCCATCCACCTTTTTGGCAAAGAAAATGGTGATAGTTATTCAAAACAATCGCAATCAGAGAACTTTAAATCTGTGTGGCTCAACTGGCCGTCCGTCTAGCCCCATTTAGGTGTCAATCCTTTGGACTCCCCAAAACAAACTGTGGTGTTCCTTTTGGTTTCCCTTTCAACCGGAAAAAAAGGGGTGCCCCTGGAAGAAGACGAGCCGCCCATTTGCATTCCTTCGGGACAACCACACATTTCGCGGTGAAAGCTTCCACGCCACCAGCTGCGATCTTCGTCCATGACTTAATTTATGACCAGAACCCACCTGTCCTAGACGGAAGGTTCTTGTCCGTCGAGATGGATCCGGGTAGACACGTGCTGAAAAAAGGTTCAAGTAAACCAGAGGAATGGAATTGGCAAACCCAAGATACAACGGACCTTTGTCACCCATGACTCTCCCGAAAGTTACGTGCAGGAGAATGATCTGTGGGATGGCGTTTCGGAGCAACACACAGGTGCCGCAACTGTATACATCACACACACAAAGCCATACAAGCTCGAGCGATCTCCAAGTGTGTTGGATGCCAATCGGTCGCTTCCGATGCATCCAGTCCCCATAGCCTCGTCGTTGCCACCATGCGCCAAAACCACCGGCACATCCTGGCAGTGCCACTGTCTGCCCTCTGAGCCACTGGCGTTTCTCTATCTTGCCCAAATATACCCGACACTCTTGGCCGCCAAAAAGGGGTACCTGGACCCCCCAAACTACCCATAAACATGCTCCCCGCAAACAAATGTGGTGATGTCCCTTGTTTAAGGGTAACATGGCCGGTCCAGGTACTCCAAGACAAACATCTTCAGATTGCGCTTCGTACTACCCAAAAATATACCACCGTTTTGGAGACCCCAACTATTCCCATGGGCCAATTTAATGCGTCCCTCGCCCTCGTCCCTCCCACATGGATCATACAGAACTTCTGGGCCGAAGGCATGGGACTCCAGTCTTGCAAAACTCAAGCACGAAAGCGACTACAACAGGGATTCTTACATTATACACCTGAACATCGCAACTTGTAAATGGTGGTTTCCAACTTTTAATTTAGTGTGGAAAAAGCCATGTTTCAAATGGTTGCGAAACGTATCTTTTAGGGAGCCCTGTACAAACCTAAAGCCTAAGGAATCAAAGGCCGAATCGAATTGAGTTTGTTTTTTCACCCAGCCCGTGAGTTTTTCAAATTACAGACGACCAGAGCTGCTCAGGTTGGCATTGTGAAAGGTTGGACTTTCAGGTTGGACCCAAAGCGCTGGGCTTTCCTCGTGCCTAGGTTGGGCTTTGCAGGCTGGTTTTCTGTGTTTCTCAGCTTTTTTGTTTTCCGTAAACAAAAGATACACCATATAGGAACTACGGCTGTGCAAAGTGAGCTGGGCCCGAGTGCTTAGCGCTACTTTGACACACTGCAGATCAGACCGAACGTAAGACCATCCTCTTTGCGCTCAGTTGCGGACCCAAAACTAAAAGGCGATCACCTCTTGGGGCAACTACAAATTGACCAAGGGGAAACCAGAAGTTGTCAGATCAAAAGGCTTGCTTTGGTGACGGGATACTCTCAACAATGGGGAGAAGTTTCTTGCGAAGGCCGTAGCTGGACCCTCAACCTACCCACAAAAAAGGGAAATCACTAAGCATATGTTTGGGCAATAACCCATTATTATGGGTAGTTTGAAGGTCCAGGTAGCAGTGAACGACGCCGTCTGGGCGAACGACATCGCCTCAAACCAGGAGCGAGGCAAGCCTTCGGTCACAGCCAAGCTCGGAGAGAGCCAAGTTCAAAGCCCGGATCCCTAGCCGGAGAACTCAAAGCAAGCCGCAACTCAGAGACTCAGATCGATGTGGGTTCCCAGCCTTTAAGCACAAAACACTCACTCTCAGTCACACCAAGCGGGAAAAACCACAAACACATCCCGAATTTCCGCAGTTGAACCATTGACACCCCTTTCAAGCACTCAAAACCAAGTTCTTATCCGATTCATCCGCAAAATTACACTTCTCCAACAAGTGACCTACTTCCCCATTGAAAAGCGGTTGCCCACCCCGAATTAGCATAGCTCTCCTTTTCATTACAGCAACCTGACGCTGGCTGAAAGGGAACAGCCCAGCTCCTGATTTGGATATCCCGGGTGGTTGCTCACCAAAAGCGCCATAGCAGATCATCTGCTGAGATTTGGTTAATTTTGATGTTGGGAGCAACCAGCCCTGGCAATGGGAGTGTCAAATTGGGATTCAGACCCCAGAATGGATTTTGGTTGTCCTTTTGGGCTCCCTTGAATTTTAAAATCAAGGTGAACTGGGTACCAACTTGAAACAAATCAACAAGTAACATATTGGGGAACCCCGCTTTCGAGTCCTTTTTAACACATCTTGGCCCACATCCGAGACAGACAAACACACATGTTCAGACTCTGTTTCATAATTAATGTATATCTCTAGAGAAAGTATACGATATGGCTGCGAGTCAAAACTCGATACCCAAAATGCAACCCAGGTACATGGAAGCAAGGACTAAAACCTGCGTTCCCCTGGATGAATGTTGACCCAGCATATGTTTGAAGCACACCCGAAGGAACCTGACCGAATCCGACTCGTGGGTGGAAAGTCCTGCGGCAGCTCTGTGCACGCGGGGTGGGCGTTCAGCAGCAGACTTGGCCCGCGCCAGTACCCCGCCTCCGAGTTTCCGATTTCGATCGATCGAGAGGCGTGTGGGTGGCACCCGGGCGCGCGGGCGTTTGGTCGCGTTAAGAGGGACCGACCGCAGAAGTGACGTCTCCTTTTGGTTTTCCCTATACAGGACACACCCTGACAAAGGGATTCCTTTCGGATGCACTGGCTTTCCCTGTACAAAAAAGGGGGAGTCTCAAAATGGACACACCCTGACAAAGGGGTTCCTTTCAGATGCACACATTGTGCTTGCAAGAATCGGAACCAGTTTGCTAGAGCCCGCTTGTCGGCTGTCAGACCGTAGGAATGCAACTTATTCGCACGGGTCGGGATCAGTGAGCTCGGTCACATGTCGGTCTCTGAGGTTTAAAGCAGGGATCCGGATGCATTATACACCTGAACATTGCAACTTGTAAATGGTGGTTTCCAACTTGATTTTGGTGTTGAAAAAGCAACATGTTTCAAATGGTTGCAACATGTGTCTTTTAAGGAGCCCTGCAAAGGCATGGCCAAAAATATGATGCGAAGCGATCCGTAGACTTCCTTTGTGAGTGCTTTGCATCCGTTCTGCAGGGTTCATTTCCATATGTCCCAGACACGAGACTCTTGACCATGATTCCTATCCGGTTTATGTGACATCTCAAAGGCATCACCCAACAAAAACACCAAAGATATACATTGAATGACTCCTAACACCTGACAGACATCCCACGCCAAAGGCCCAAGACCCCACAGATATCAAACAAAGATGCAACAACATGTCCAAGACAAAGACCCAAACACATGGGTGTGCCGTAAAGTTTGGGACACCCCTTGGGTGGTTCCCTTGGTTTCAGTATGTTTTAGTTGTCCATTGAAATACACCCAAAACAGAAAAACGGCCCGGTGGGTCCCTTTGGTTTTTATTCTTCCATTCAAACCGTGCCAAAAGAAGAAAACAAGCCTCAAAAAAGGCGTTTCGCCCACATCTTGCGGGCTCCCTCGCAAGGCCTTCCAAAGGCCCACCATGTAGACACCTGGCGGGTGATCTCCAGTCTCAACCCCCCAAAGCTGTGGGAAACGTAACCCCAAACATCCAAAGGGAAAATACAAAAAACAAAAAGCAAGTGGAGTAGGAAAAAAAAAGAAGGAAATAGACAACAAAAGACAACTGGAACGAGATCCCGGGTCCCAATCACTGCTTGGATTTTGAATAATCAGGAAAATCGACCAATTCAAGTCCATTTATCCGCAAAGGAAAAATGGGTGGCCATAAATGTATCTCAGGGGTCGCTTTCTCCGCTCGCCCCCAATCAACCATGTTTAAGGAACTTCAAACTCCCTTCATGGGCATTTCCTGTTTGAGTTGCCCATCTCTCTACAGTACCAACGACTGGGCGATCGGGACACCGAACACATGAAGTCTTGTCTTTGGAATTCCCCCTCCAGCAAGTGGACCGTTACACTTCAACCACAAAATGTTGAGAGCACCGGCATTCTTGTCACGTCGCTGAGCGAGGGGCAAAACAGGCGAAGGTGTAGGTTTGCTTTGACATGTGTCAAAATAGGAGACCCCCAATAAAAAGAAAGAACAATAACAAGTAACTCGTGGGTTTCATGATCGTTTCCTTTCAGACCAACTCCCCCAAAAAGTGTGATTTCCAACTCTATCAATCACGTCAGGACGCTGTTTTCTGCTGAATTGGATACCTCCCTGCGACCCTCAATGGCTTGTTGCCCTAGAATGATGGTGATTTCCCATTTTCCAGGGTAGTTTGAGGGTCCAGGTGTGTTGTTCGCGAGATGGTACCTCTATCGGCTTGGAAAGTGGACAAGGCAAACCAGCTGGTCCGAATCCCTTTGTCGCATACCCACCCAATCTGGCCAGTGCTGTGGTTCTCGCTTGGTGCCTGTAGGGTCAGGTTTTGGGGATTGAGGCCAGGGAGACTTGGATTAGGTCCTCCAGTAGAGAGGTTAGAAAAAGGGTACCCTTTTTTCTGTAGTCTATTTTAGTAGGGGAACCCTCTCCCAAAAAGGGTAAAAGCGCACTACTGGGGGACCAAGTGGATGTTCATTTCGCCAAGTTTGTAAGTGGCTAGCCTGGTGTTCTTCACCTTGTAACAACCTGGACCCGAAAGAACTACCCAATAAAACAAAAAACGATACCAAGCATATGTTTGCGGGCCACAACCCGTTTTTATTGGTAGTGTGAGGGTGCAGGAAGGTTGAACCGGGGACTTATAAGTGGGCTATGACCGAACGGTTACCAACTTACTAACTTGGCGAATCGAACACCCGAGTAGAAAGTTGTGAATGTTTCTTGGCCCCTCAAACTAGAATTGACAAAAGGACAGGCACCTCATATGTTTGAGCAATGATCCATTTTTTCTGGGGTAGTTTGAGGGTTCGGGTACACCGAAAGTAAGGTCTAGTGATCCTGTTTCATTACTTAGACTCTAAACAATAAACAACAAATCCCTGAAACCAAATCTCCGGAACCCTCCCAAGCCGCTGCGAGCCACTCGCAAGCTTTCAGAGACCCCACGGCAACAGCTGGGGAATATCCGTCGCCGAGTTCATGTCTGTGGTTCGCCAATTGGGACCTGTTCGCCCGTGGACTAGATGGGCTCCACCGGAATTGAGACTGGTTCTCATGAATTATTCCATTTACAGGGATCCTTACATGAAAAACATCTGAACATTGCAACTTGTCAATGGTGGTTTCCCTTTATTTTGGTGTTGAAAAAGCCATGTTTCAATTGGGCAAAACGTATCTTTTAAGGAGCCCTGATTTATGTTCGATTTTTCCCCCTCATAACAAGTTGTTGACCCAGGGGACCTAATCTTGTGGGTTGAACTTACTAACTTGGCGAATCGAACACCCGAGTAGAAAGTTGGAGCGGGACGCAGGACCCTTGGCCCATGAATGTTTCTTGGCCCCTCACACTAGCCTTGAAAAAGGGACAACACCTCACATGGGTAGGTCAAAGTTAAACCAACAGGGGACCGCAGGCTGTAGTCCATGTTTCCATTTGCCAGGGATCCATTTTGGGAACCTATTTTTGACCAACAGCCATATGTTTCAGCAATAACCCCTTTTTCCGGGTAGCTTGACGGTCCGTTCTTCGACGCGCGGGTTCCGCTGGTTCGATCCCCGCCTCCTTTGGAGGCGGCACACACCACGTGGGGCTGGAAGCTCTCGATCGCCTCCTGCCAATGGGTGAGCTGTGCAGACACGCTGGCCTCCCTTTGGCTTCTCCTTAAAACGACCCCCCAAAAAAACCGAGCTGAATACGGTTGCCAAAATTGACACGGTGGTAAAACGACTCCAAAAATCGTACTCCAAAAAAAGCGAGCCGCCACTGTTGTCCTTTGGACAGGGGTCCTTGTATTTATCTTGCTGGGTGAGTAAGGTTCCTTTTGGGGTCCTTGAAAGGGACATAGCGGGACGAGGGCCTGTCTTTTTGCAAATGGGGAAGCCCACCACATGGGTGGTGTCCTCAATTGTTCCCTGTAAAGCAAGCAACCAACAAATAATTACCCCAAAAAAGACAATCCGCCCAGGTGTTCAACAGGCACTAGCATAACTAACATGAGCAACACGGGCCTTCAGGGCTCAGGTCTAATGGACTCCCAATCCAAGATGCCAAGGATTTATGAGAAATCCCGACGTGCCTCTTTTCAGGGCCCGAAACAGGGACCCTGGCATTTGGTGCATGCTTTGCTAACTCGACAGGTCACTACCCACTTCATTCACAACTTGGCCGAAGCCCGGGAAAAAGGCACAGTGGAGCTGTGAAGGCAGAAGACATCGCGTCGAGCTGTTGGACCTGAATGGTCTACCCTGTGGCCAAAACCCTCATTCTCCAGGTCCCCTAACGAAGGGCAATCAATCATAGGCGGCAAATTCTCACTTGCATGATGAGTACAGGCCAGAAAAGATTCAAACTCATTATGTCCACTAGCATGAGTTTGTCTCAAAATGGGGGGGGCTTCCTATTGGCTTCCCTTTCAGACTATCCAATAAGGATACTCAAAGAAACGACACCCCCACATGGTCCTCCCAAGATTGTCAGGGAGAAGTGAGAACTCGCAGTTAAGTAGCCTTCAGCTCGCGAAGAAATCGATCACAAGATTGACATGGCATCCGCAAGGGCACTTGTCAAGGTTGCCTGGGCAAACTTGTGATTTCTTGACCAGACTTGGAAAGGGGACGGCCCAAATGGCTGGTAGCCCCTCCGTGTTCCTTTGAAAGAAAAGCACTACTTAAGTCACTACTTGAAATCCGGTTTGGACAAGTATCAGTTCCAATCCTCATTTGCAAACCCACGCCGTAGGCGTTTTTCCAAGCAAACTTCCAGCTGCTTCAGTTTCATGCTCAGAGCGACTCAACAACCCAATAGAAAGCGCATCTCGATCAAACCCCTCCGCCGCAAGAAACAAATACAGCAGAGTAACACGACAGAAAGGACCAGTCGACATGTCCTTGAAAGAACATCCGTTTCAGCCTCTCGAAATTCCCAAAGTTACACCCTGGAAATTGGAGACTGGCAGCTCTCCAGGAATGACAACCTCTCTTGGGATGAACCCTGCCCCCACTCGGAAGGGGGGGGGGTGTAGCAATCGCTATTCAGTGTCAGACTCAGACTCCCTTTCAAAGAAATCAAGTTGTTTGCTGGCAAGGGAAAATGGAGGAATATCAAAAAGGCGAATAGTTTGGTCTTGTCACTATGCTTATTCAAGCCGTATATCACCCATACGTACTCTTTGTCCTTTGGCTTTTGACTTTTTTTGGGTGGCTTGAGAGCAATGTCAGGGGCTAAATGATTGCCAGTAGTGTATTCCTATACGACTAAATTGTGCTCTACTTAGACCCTCGTTCAACATTGTTGAAAGCGGCCTCAGTCATCGCCATTGGCTCCTATTCGGATTGCGAATATGTGTTTTGCTTCAGGGGGCGGGGAGGGGTGGACGTTTGGTGACTGTATGAGTATACGGAAGCTTAGAAGAAGGCTTATAAGAGAAGCTTATAAGGAGCATAATAAAGAAGCTTATAAGGAGCTAGGTAAGTGGGCTTATAAGAGAAGCTTATCAGGAGCCTTGTGGAAGCTTATAAGGAGTAGCGCCTACGGGCTGAAAACTCCGCTCTCCGGCTGCGCCTTGATTTTCTCCAAGTATGGCAAGGCATCGAAGTTCTTGGTCTCCGGATTCGGGATGCCGTGAAAGAACTGCACCTCGAGAAGATGTGTACAAATTTGTTGCAGGGTGCAACTTGATGTAATGTAATGTATGGTGTGTATGTGTATGTATAGGTGCATGTACATATGTATATGTGTATGTGCGCACATACAAGATGTACGTGTATATATAAAACTATATAAATACATATTGAGAAAGAGAGGGAGAGAGAGAGAGAGAGAGAACCATCTAAAATCCATAGTTGTGTATTCCACATGTCATACAGTTACAATCATAGGTGGCCTTTTGGAAAATAGATGGCACTAGTAAATGGAACAAAACCCATCTAAACCAGGGCCATCTATTTTTTGACCAGGCTCACCTAAAAAGGACACCTATGGTTACAATTGATCTATTCCAAACGGACAGGGCCGTGAGCCACTTTCAAACTGGCCGCTCTCCTGCAACCAGAGGCTCACTGACTCCGCTCTAACATGGGGCAAGATATGGGCTGGCTCGTTGGCAACTTGACAGAGTGTCTGGATTCGCATTGCTTAAGTCCAAGAATAGGGAACCCAGACATCTTGGTTAGTCGGGATCCCCAATATCGACCTAAACGCTCCAACAACCCATTAAAATGGACTATTGCCCCCAAACAACTTGGGTGATGCCATCTCCTTTTTATGGGCGCCTGGATCGTCAGTTGCTGCTTTCTCCCGGCAACTGTGACTGTGTTTAGGGCAAAGCGGCTGGAAAACAAGCCAAAAAAACGCTTAGAGACGGTTGGTATGGCTCTTATAGAGAGGATAGAATAAGTTGGTCCCCATTTTTTCCTCTAGTGTATTTTAATAGGAGAACCGAATCTCCCAACCCAAAAAATGGACCTAGTCACGCTCTCCTTTCAGCGCTCCCCACGGCCCCCGAACCTTCGGACGATTTCGCCTGGTACCCGGCAGTGGTGACCATGCCGCTCTGCCGCGGGTTCAGCTGCTGCCCGAAACCTGCCGCGGAAAAAGGCGCTAAGAGGCTGGACAAGACGTACCACCCGAAGGAACCACGGTACCCAATAAAAAAGGGAAACCACCCCATGACTTTGGGGCAATCACCCATTTGTTTGGGTTTGAGGGTTGAGGCACCATTGAAAAGGGACACCTCTTTACCCTCTAAATTGGTCAAGTGATGCTTTCTTGCATTCTGTTCCCCCCTACCATGGATTGTATGGGTATATCTGAATTGATGCTTGTGTCAACCTTGAAGGACCTTTTGACTAACATCAATATAAATGGACATTTCAACCGGGGCCCCTTTGGTGGACATCAAAATTCGGGGGTTGATGTCCACCACTTCTGAGGTTCTCTATGAGAATTCATAGGCGTATCTTCCCCTCCAGTAAAAATGGAAACTGACCGAGGGGGCGCCGGTTCTCTGGGGTCAAAGCTGGTTCTGAAGGGCAGCCAGGTAACTGGAGTCTAGATGACTCTTCCAAAAATGGGGTCCAATATTTACCGGTCATGGAGACTCCAGGTCAACATTTTGTGTCGCTGTGGGGTACTGGCCTTCTGGCAGCAACTACCCTTCGATAACTTCGATACAGCTGCCTCGCACACGGGGAATCTTCGGCAAAAAAGGCTCAGAAGTTGCATCTTCCCGGGCCACGAAATACTCTTCCCACGCGAAACGGAGAGGCCCCATTCCAAGGAACGTGGCCTTGCAGGAAGCAACCAAAACTCCTCTGGAGGGAAGGACTTCCAGTGAACTCCCTTCAAACAACACCCCATTGGCCGCACCTGCACCCCACCTGCGGGCTGACATATGCCCTCTGCGCCAAAATGCCAAAAACTTGACCGGTTCGCGGTACCTGTGTTTTATTGGCTTTCTAGAAAGCGTCAATCCTGGTGGGTATGATCATCCATCTGTGGTTGGCCATTTGGTTCAGACTCATATCCTGTAATTTTGAAAGGGAACCTCGTAAGCCTCCCATCCCCCCCCCATTCTGCGCAAATAGCGACTTGAAATCAGGCCCTTCCTTGCCGGAAGCTCATCGGCACCCCGAAAGGAAGAAGGGAAGCTCTGGATACAGGAAACTTCGGATTAATCCGGAGGACCCTGCTAATCAGGGGTGGCTCCGCTTGGAAATGATCAGGAGGCTCCTCTGACTATCCTCCGGATTACCAAGTTGACGGAGAACATATACGGGAAGCAAAAGCTCTAACAATAGGTGGCCTTTTGGAAAAATAGATGGCCCTGATAAACGGAATAAGATCCATCTAAACCAGTGCCGACATTTTTGTTCAGCAAAGTAATTACCTAAAAAGCACAGCTATGACTCTAACTCTAGGGAGTGACAGCTCCAAACGTCGAACCCGCCGCCATGTCCCCGTTTCGTTCCCCGGGCCGCCTGGGCCGATGACGAAGACCCGCGTGTCTTTGCGCTCCATGGCAGAAGCTCGGACCGTGGAGGGGACCTCCAAACGCGGAATGCTGACTCCCCGACCCGACCCAAGCTTGTTCCCAAAAACATAGGCACGCCGTGCCAAGAAAAATGGCGGTTGTGCCACCAGAACCAAACAAGTGGCGTTTTCTGGAGGTTGTGCCAAAAAAGGGAACCAAGATGGTGTTCTACCAGAATGGCTATAAAAGGTTCATACGGGTAGGTGTCAAGCAGGGGGACCCAAACAAATGGCACGGTCATGCCAAACATTGTGATTGTACCCTAAATGGAACCAAGAGGTGGTGGTGGTTTGTTCAAAGAGGACTGTGCCCAAACAGGAAACCCCCAAACCACTACCTTGGGAGGGGGATATACTATATACCCTTACAAAGTGGGAAAGAAATCGTAGGTTCCCTACCCCGAATAAAGGAAGCTGACTTGAACAAACGTTGTTGTACCTGCCAAACAGGTGGTGTTTTGTGGAGGATGTGCCAAAACAAGTAAACTGACTTTAGCATGGGACCAAGGGTGATGCACCAAAATGAGCGAAATATGGGCATGTGTCAACTACAGGACCCCCCCCCACCCCCAAAAAAAACGCATCCCTGTCAACAAAGCAAAGGGTACCTTCAAAACAAGGACAACCACTTTCCCTTGAACCTTATCCAAAAAGGTGTTCCTGGACCCTCAAACTACCCATGCGAACGGGCTATTGCCCCACCCCCACCCCAACGAAAATGGAGGCAGGTGGAGGATCCAGGCTCCCCGCAACCGTACCGCGGGTTTTGACGGCTCTCGGAGTTGGCCCGGCCTGGCCCTTCTTGAAATAGGCCTCGAAGTCTGCGAAGTCGATGCGCTTCTTGCCCCCCGCGATGGTCTGATCGGCGTCGGAAACCCGCGGAAGCGCGAGGAATCGATGGGATCGGAGTGGGAGGGGAAAAACCGGGGGCACCGGGTGATTGGCCCTTTAGATTCTCTAGATTGTCCTGCTTCTATCAGAGGTACCTGGGTACAAATGGGTTGTTGCCCCAAAATTATGGGGTGATTTCACTGTTTTATGGGTAGTTTGAGAGTCCAGGATGGTTTAAACACCAATGCTGTGGATGGTTGCGAGAACCAGAAATCGCAAGACCCAAACTAGAAACCCCTGGTCTGATTTGATTCCTGTGAACCCCAAGAAGCACTGGTTTCAACCATGGTTTCCAAGTGGTGCAAGATTTAGTTCATCGACAGTAGGTGGGCTTTTAGGAGAGTAGATGGCCCTGGTACATGTGGCATAAAACCAATCTACCTAAAAGGTCAGGCAACAACCAGGGGTCCCCTGTATGAGTACTGCACGACATTACTTAATGATCCTTACATGAGCAACTAATGGGTTCCTCAATGGATCGTTTACTTACAAAAAAAAAGCAGCGGGGGTCCCAAAACAGCAGGGGTCCCTATGTGGATTGTCATTTTGGAGTCGATTTTTAGGGGACACCTTGTCCGGTACATATATAATGCACGCTACAGCTCCATGACAGCACGGGCTGGGTCGGGGTTCATGCATGACCGGATAAGTCGGCAGGGGTACCGCCTGGCCCTGCTTATGCGACCCTTGATTCGGCCGACTTGGAAGGAATGTTTGCCTACAAGTGGCTTCTGCTCGGCTTGCCAAAATGCATCTTCGGGCGCCTCAAGAATTGCCCTTTCAAAAGGGTTCCTCAACGACCTGGGATCCTTCCCGCCGACAAACGCGTTCAATTTTGATCCTGTAACACTCTTTGCAGATATAGGAACGGAGAGGAAAGCAACCAACACAAGCAAAAGAGCACAGATGGCGCCGAAAAACAAACGGCTAGAAGGCTGCAACTCGCTTCCTGAGTGGACTAGCCACAAAAGTCCGAACTGACCCGAACTGTCTGATTGCCACTAAAACGGCTTGCCAAAAAGTTGAAAGTCCAGGAAATTCAGGAAATGAGTAGATGGCGAAGAAAAACCAAGTAGCCAGAAGGCTGCAAAAAGGCATGAAACACATATCTTCTTCACAGCTACGGGGATGCATCAAACCTAGAGACAGGTTCGAGATGTTCTTTCAACAAATGCCGAAACCACACACACAGACACACATACACAGACACACATACACACAAGCATGCCACCCATCGTCAAGGATGTTTAACACAGCTGGGTGTGTCTGTTGTCAGGAATCGGACCAAACTGGCTTTGGCTTTCCTTCTGGTTTCCCTTTAGAACCGCCAAAGGGGGTACGTAACCTCAAACCACAAACAGGTTGAGTAACTATTTCTCTCAGGTGCCTGCTGGCTCGATCCGAATTTCATGTCATGAACATGGGAAATCCACCACACGGACCCTCAAACTAGCCATAAACATGGAGTGCAACCCAAAATATTGGGACGACTCTCCTAATGTTCCAGCTAGGTCCTCCAGTAGAGAGATTCGAACAAGGGTACCAGCTTTTTTCTGTAGTCTATTTTACTAGGGGAACCCTCCCACCCAAAAAAGAAACGGTGAGAGGTCGGGCACCAATTGCTGGGTGACCTAGTCAGGACAGTAGTCGGGAGTCCAGTTTCGCGCGCGCGATGGCGTGACGAATCACGCCCGCGCGCGCCTGGAAGAGGCTGTTGATTTCATCAAAGGCCTCCTCGCTCTCCATGACCTTCTGAGCACCTCGAGTGGCCTATTGGCCATTTGGCCCATTCTGTTTACTCGACGGCCTGTGGGTTGAAGGGGCCACCCCGTTTTTTCGGCGTTCTTGCGGGAAACCAAACTGTTGAGGTCTCTCCAGTTCCCACCCAACATCCCAAACTCCCAAGTACTGTCCAAAAAGCAGCGCCAGGTGCTACTAATTTGGAGAAACACCCCCTTGGCTGTGCCCACTTTGCTCTGAGCATGGCTAAGCCGCTGCAGCAAACCTTGCGCCCGCTGGAGTGCTGAGACAAAGCGCATGAGCCCCTTCTGGCCCGAGGAGAATCTCCGTCCGTCACCATAGGTGACCTTATGGAAAAAACAATGGCGCTGGCAACTGGAATGAAACCTATCTAAACCAGTGGAACCCATCTATGTTTAACCCAACTAAAATGAAAAAGACACCTATGGTCACCGTGTTGGCAAGGAGTCAACCAAGCAAGGCCAACCAGAGGATCCAACAACTTGCTCACTTGGCAACCAACAGCCAAGTAACCAAGAAATACCTAAGGGATCTTTTTTTTTCTAGGGCTTGGGTTCAAGCCATTGCTTTCCATCCTTCTTTTCATGATAAATAAAACCGTTGACTCCGGCTGGATCCATGGGTTTTGTCGGATCCCTGGGTTCCCGCTCGGGGAAGGGGGGCGTGACCTCTCACCTGCATAGGCACAACAAAATAGGAAGAAGAAAGATCAACATGGACTCTCCCACCCATCATGGGGGCTGGGGGGAGGGAGGGGGGGGGAGGGAGCCCCAATAAGCCCCAAATAAGGCCTTATTAGGGGCTTAATAAGGGCTTATTTGCGCTCCCTCCCCTCCCCTCCCTCCTCCCCAGCCCCCATCCCATGAACCCAACAAACAACGGATCATACCGTGGATGGTTGCCAAATGCATTTCGCAGCACCTAGGAAACCTTGCAACGATGATCCCCCTGTAAATGCCAACCAGCAATGGTTTCAACCCTGGCTTCTTAGGTGGTGCGATTTCTGGATTTCGCAACCCATCCACAGTAGGAATCTAGACCAACCTCTAAAGTTGTCTTCGCAACCATCCAGTAGGAATCTAACGGCAGATTCCATGTCCAAGCCCAAAAGCTCTCCCAGCAAACTTAGCCGAGGCCTGACCAATGCCTGCTGGATCCAGGTGCCCACACTCTCCATGTGCGGCAGCAGAAACTTCGCCACCTCCGCTTTCACCTCGACTAGGGGCCAGGTGGGGGGAAGGAAACATATTATATATATACATATATCTATAAACATATTTACATATGACCAGATTCACCATTTACATATGACTCATATTTACATATCTGTATATATAGTTTGAGGGTCCAGGTATATATTCCACATACACAGTGAAACAAGGACAAAACCGCACGACCTTGACGAACAAGAGGCTTCCCGCAGCTCCCAACCGAAGCGCTTGGGCAAGGCCATCTTGAAGAAAACAAGATCTGTACTCGGTTGCGAAATCTACTCCTCTGCTAAAAGTGACTAACTTTTAGTGGTTTAATACGGAAAACTCATCAGTTGGCAAAAAGTTAAAGTCCTAACCTCCAAGCAAAATGCACCAAAGTGTACACCAAGAGTCTAGAACAGGATACCATGAATCTGGATCTGGTCTTTCCCCAACTTTGCCCGACCAACATGAACCTTTGACTTTTGCATACTTGGCCACACTCTTGAAACATGCACGCCCAGCAGTGGTGAAAATCATGATTGCCAATGAAAGCACAGCTTGCTTGTTGAAACCGCCGAAGCATTTGCTATTTGACTCCAGAAGAGAGGTTAGAATCAGGGTACCCTTTTTTCTGTAGTCTATTTTAGTAGGGGAACCCTGCCCTTTTTGTGAGAAAGGGCACTACTGGGGGACCTGGTTGACATATTAGTGCAAATGCACTAGTTCACGTGTTTCAACAGCCAGACCCCCAAGCCCAGAAAACCCGGCCTTTACCGCCTCAATGATCTCGAACTTGGAGATGGACCCGCTCTTGTCGGCGTCGATGATCTCGTAGATCCTCGACCTATTATTCCCAATTGGAGGACACAGTTCGAAGGGGATTCCCTGGGTACATATGGCTATGGGTCAAAAGCCAAATCGTACCCCCAATGAGCATCCTAATCCCCACTAAAATAGGTTCTAAAATGGGTGGTGCACCTACCCCAAAATGGTACCATTGGTTTTGACCCACAGAAAGTAAAGTTCAAACAACCATGAATACGAGCCCTGCCAAGTATGCAGAAACTGCCCAACGTACAACCGGGGTACTGCCCCCCTCTCTGGACTTGGCGGGGGACTGGAGACTTAGTCTCCCTCATAGCAGCACAGCTTGTGATTCATCATCCTTGGACAGTGAAGAACACTGCAAAGAACAGAGATCGGCCATGGATCAAAACCCCGGTTAGCCCCCAGTGAACATCCCAATCCCTACTAAAATAGGCTCTAAAATGGGGGGTGAATTCACCTATCCCAGAATGGCACCACTCTGGTTTTGAACCATGGCGATGAAGCTGATGCCATTGACATCCGAAGTACTTGATGGGTTGGCTTTTTGTTTGAGCTTTCCCAGTTCCCGAGCGGATTGGCCGGAAGGAAAGCATGTGTCTTTTGTCTATCTCTACAGGTACTGTCGGACAACATCCGCTTCGCACCAGTTGGTAGGTGGTATCTGGGTACGTATGTCATTTTTTAGGGGTATTCTCCTTCTTCCTGTTTTTCAAAGGAAGCCACAAGGAAAACCACCCACTTTGCTTGGGAGGGGAAATTCCTAACAAAACAAACACGAGCCACCCATATCCCACCACGGGCTTCTTCCATCCCCAGTGATGCGCTTGGCACAAACGTGGGCACCAAGCGCCCGGCATCTCGCTCTTCTCTTCAGGGGGCTGGTTCTTTGCCTGCAAGAAACCCGGGAGGCTACTTTGCAGCGACGAAATGCACGCACAATGTCACAATGAACGTGTATGTGTATTCTATATATGTATATACAGTGTATACATATAGATAATATGTGTATCTATATGCATATACATTATATATACATTAGAACATGTGTTGCGTGGTTAGATACGTACAAATTCCCCGCGGACGACTGGGAACCACCAAGCAAAGGAAAAGGATTGCCAGAACTTTCAATCTCCCGGACTTTCCGCAAGCGCGCTTTGACCATAGGTTCCTGCTTGCTTGGGAAGATCGATGTTGCTGATTTATGATTGGAACCAACCTGCACCCATTTTCAACCGAACTGAGCTCAAACGGCCACCTATGCCTTTGACAATGGTAACTTCAGTTTACTGAACGCAGTGCTCTTCGCCCCCATGAGAAGCTACAATGCCAGAACGAGTCTCGATTTCGTCTAAGATAAAGCATGCCGCATGCTGCTTCAACCATGCAGTGAACACATGTTCGTCTATGACAAAGGCACCCAGCAATGGGAGCATGAAACGAGGGAAGCAAAGCTCGCAAAATACATGCCCGAACTGGTGAGCACATGTCAGCACCTGGGTCTCAACCAAGTCAGCAAGTGGTTAGTCACTTGGGGTATGACCCCCTTACAAGTTGTTAACCCCAGATTCACGGGGGACTTGTAAGTGGGTTATGGCCAAACAGTTACCGTTACAACTTACTAACTTTGCGAATCAAACACCCAAGCTCCCATGTCCAAAATCCCCCCTGGTACTGCCCAGCAGTTAGGACCGAATCGGGTGTCGACTGCTTTGCTTCCCGAGCCTTACCGAGCGTCCCGCATCTTTTACATGGTCCCTATCTTCTTGGGCCCGAAAGAACTATCCATGGTACGAAAAAAAAATGAGGGTAAAGTTGGTTACCTGAATCCTCAAAGTGCCCATTGACATGGGTTTCAACCCAAAAGTCATGGTTGGTGATGTCGCTTGTTTATGGGTAGTTTGAGGCTCCAGGTAGTCAAACCTAAGAGCTGCAGCCATGTGATCTAAGAGATCCCAGTCTTACTCTCCTGCAAACATTTTTCCGTACGAAACTCAATCAGGAGATCCCACGTTACTTTGGAGGCTCTAAACGTGGGGTGGTGTTGGGGTTCCTGTCAATCTGCAGATACCCAGAGGGTCCAAGTACCTCATAAGGATGGCTTTTGGGGGGTAAAAAGGGGTCCAAGTACCTCCTTAGAAGGTACTTGGACCCTCTGCAGATAAGAACCCTGACGCTTCGAGCCCTCCTTCTTGTGATGCGCTGCCAGGTCCGCATACTTGATGCGCTGCCTATCGAATGGATCCGGTACGGAGATTGATATCAGTCTCCCGGAGTTGCCGTGGAACCCAAAGGATCTTGAGAGAAATGATATGCTAGGACTCCCTTGGAATATAGGTTTTATGTTGTCAAATGCTGAATGTATATGTCCACATATGAACCCTGGTATGAACCCCTAGCTCATGGGTTAATTAACCATTCGTTTTGGCTTAAATATGGGAAATCTGCCCCAAAGCGTCCCTGAATGGACATTGGTTCATATATGGACCCATAGAATCAGCCTTTGATGTTGGTGGAGGGAAGGGTAATGCCAACATAGGAAGCCAGGAGTGATGCATTGGTTGAGTCACAGGTCTCGTAGAGGGACTCCACTTGATCACATAGAATGAGGTTGTGGGGTGCTTTGAAAACTAAATTAAGTCATCATAGGAGAAGTTAAGCTATATGTATGTATATACATATATATATATACACATACATATCCCAGGTTGAGCAAAGAGGCAAGCATCCAGTCGGCGCTTCCCACCAAGCAAGTTCTACCAGGCTGGCATCGACAGAGAAAACAATATTACTTCCGCAAACGGTTTATTGGGTCGTCCCCTCTTGTTGAACACTTGAAGACTTGAGATAAACCCGCCCTGAAAATGATAGGACGCAGGTTTTGGAGCAGGGTGACTCTAGCATACTGTCGCCTGGACCTGCTCGCAACATTGAACAGAGGACAACATATTCTGGATGCCAGCAGAGTCCATCTGAAAAGCTCAGGTTTTACATTTCAAGAACACCCACAGAGAATTCAGAAGAGTCTCAACGCAAGCGCACTCTCACTTTCTTCCCGTGTTGCTGGGCATTGAGGGTCCTAAACATCAGTTTTTTGCAGGAGCAGTGCACATGGCCGCCGCCTCTTACAAATTTGACTGCAAGGCTTGTTCAAACAGAAAGGGTCCCGAATTCGCATTTCAGCGCGAATGACTTCCCCATCTATACAAGGCATCAAAGAGGATCCCTCAGAAGGCATCCCCAATATCCCTAAAGAACAGAAGGGATCCCCAACAAGGCATCCCAAAAACGGCCTCCCCGTTGTGAAGAAACCCTCTGGGGTTCCCAACTTCCCCCCAGAGATCACGTCAAAGATCTCCATAACTGCATCGAAGAGGTCCTCGTCCCCTCCTCCACACAGACCACCTCGCGACGCGAATGGCGCTGGTCTCAGGCGGTCTGAAATGGAGATACACATAGGGAAGGCTGACGTCTACGGGTTTAGGCTTTGTATATATATATATATATGGCAACAATTTTGCTTCTACACTCGGGGTACGTCTTGAAGGGTTGCAATAAATCAGCCCTTCATCTACGAGGGTTCAACGTGCTTGCGACCAATGGGGCCAACAGGCGTTCCTGGCCCCTTGATTCTGACAAAAAAAAACACAAGTTCTGCGGAACGTAGGTCGACCCTCCCCAATGCTTACTCAGAAATCATTGCTCCCGACTCATGGCTGTGGGTCAAAAATGCGTACCCAAAATGGCTTGCCCTGGTAAATGGAGCCAAAGACTAAAACCTGCGGTCCAATTCCTGGTGGCTTTAATCTGACCCATACCCTCATGGGTTCGGCAGGGTTCCAGTTGCGCAGGCTCGCTGCGCGACGGCTCTGCGCTCCCGGGCCAGAGGATTGCTGGCTCTCGTGATCACGTGGCTATGGGCTGACTCGTGGTTGTTGCTTTCTGTTAGCTTTTGGGTGTCGTGTTTTTGAGGGTCGGCATTTCAGGATGGTTACAAAGGAAACCAAAAGGAACACCGTCATTTTTGGGGCTTCCCTATTTTGACACATGCCCATGTGCTTTGGAGGCGTGATCAGGATTGCCTGGGCTTCTTTGCTACTATAGAGGAGGAAGGACAGGCCTTTAGGTATTGGCAAGCTACTACTCGGACTATTCGGGACCCTACTACTCAAAAGAACCCCTAAAATCGATCTCATATCCGTACCGAAAGGCTTGCCTAACGCAGTTTTGACGCTGCGTTATTTGGGGGGAGGTTCTTGTTGTGTTTGTTGTTGCTACGCAGAAATTCATTCATGGACGACTCTGCAGCTGCCTGGTCTTCGACATAGATGACCTGAAAAGTTGGGCATAAAGCCCATCTAAACCAGTGGAACTGATCTATTTCTACCCAAGCCAACCTAAGGACATGCCCCTCAGTATCTTCCGGATTCCGAAGTTGACTTCTGAATTGAAATCCATCCCAAGAGAAATAGCCACCGGGTATGTCTTGCTGACGCGCGTTCTGCGGGAACGTTGGATGCCCCAGCCATATTGCAAGCCAACCCCACTCACCCACAAAACCGCAGACAATTACGGTAAAGAGACCGTCTCCTTGTTCCGTTGCGATATTGAGACCATGCGTGCCTAACGGACAACAAAGGGCACGCTTCGATTCCCAGCCTGGGCCAATGGCAGGAAGCAGACCGTTGAAGACCCTGTAGCGGTTGACCATGCAGGTATGTCACATCAAATTAGATTCGCCAAACCCCCAAAATGATGAAGGTATCCTTGCTTTGTGGGTTGCCTTTAAACCAACCCTTAACAAAGTGCGAACACAAAGGCACAAACCCATTCCGGTGTTCAAGATTCCGGGAGCCACGCCGCAGATCTTCTTCTGGTCAGGCAGCACGAATGCCGCTACCTGTGGAATCACGCCAAAAAAACTCGGAGAATGGCCCAAACTCGGGTTCCCAATTGATCCTAGTCGGTACAGCAGGGTGGAGGGATGCAAATGCCTCGCAGGAGACCTTACGAGTCCCGAGGAAAAGCTGTTAGCAACCCTCGTCTTCACAGTTCCTCTCCCTGTGACTTCAACTGGTACCTGCTGTGGTTGACATTGATCCTTGTCACCCATCAATGCGTGCACCGGCCTAGGAGGTGGTTCACTCACTTCCTGAGTGGCCAAAAAAATCTAAACTGTTTGTATACCACCAAAATGCTATTCCCCAAAAGTGTTAAAAGTCCAACTCAGGAAGTGAGGTGGACTCCCTTGATCTCGCTTGTTGCGTGTCTCTGCCGTCCCTTCAACTAACAACTCGCAAAGCAAACTGCAACCGGTGATGAGCGCCGCACGGACATGTGTGAAGGATCTAGCGAGAACTTGCTGTGTACCGTAGGGAATGACCCAGGGTGTTGGAAATGAACCGGAAGGGGATTTCTTTTTATAGGGGGTCATTCCCTCATTCCCAGCTGAGAACCAGCAAGATGAGCAAATGGTCTGAAAGGATTTCCTAGTTCACACATCTGAGTCTTGGAGCAAACAGGAGCGGAAGCAACAAACACAGTCTGTTATGCACCAGCCGATGTGCTTGGAACGTCCTATGACCGTCGACGTGTCCGGCTAACCCGTTGACCACTCAATTGAGCAATATCCACCAATGCCGCATTCGAAGACCGGGTGGAAAGGCTTCCTGGACCCTCAAACTACCCTAAACAAGGAACTCACCCCATACTTTTCTCGCATTAAACCCATTTTTGGGGGTAGTTTGAGGGTCCAGGTTGATCCCAGGCTGTTCTCTTCAATCAAGGCGTTACCGAATCACAACTAAGATTCACGGAGTTAGCAAGCGGTTAGCCAAGTGCGGTAGAACCCCCCACCCCACTTGCGGGGACTTATAAGTGGGTTATGACCAAACGGTTACCAACAACTTGCTAACTTGGCAAATCGAACACCCAAGAACGGAAACAGCCCCACGAGATCCCACGAGCAACAAATAGCAAGTGGAATCCTATGAAAAAAAGGGGAATCACCCTTCTTTGTTTGTTTCTTTTTTTTGGGGGGGGGGGGCACAACCCAACTTTTAGTCGATTGGATGGAAACCCAACTAAAAGCCTATGAGGAACTTCCGGACGATTCGCTGGGAACCACCAAGACATGTTGGTTGTTTTCCTTGTTTGTTTCGGTGTTCTATGTTTTTGTGTTTTTGTTTTCCTTGTTTGTTTTCATTGGTTTCCTTTTGTTTCTTTTTGGGGGGGCAGGTTTTCGGGCGCCAAATGGCGCCAACCCAACCGCCTTCGGCGAACTCTTCCGCCGATTCCATCTGGGGGAAGCTTCCCCATTCTTTAAAGGGATCCTTCTTTTCGGGAAACCATCAAAAACCCAGGGGAAACAGATCCAGTTTTTGAACAGAACGATGGTTGAAAAGAATGAAATCGGAATCAACCCTTAGAATCATATGTGTCCTTTTGACCCGTTTGGTTGCAATGGTTTGCTTCATTTGCCAGGGCCATCGATTTGTCCAAAAGGTCCTTCTATGAAGAACTGGAATCAACCCCTAGACAAATGGTAACCATGGGATCCATTGAGTATCGGGGAATTGTTGCACGAAAAGAATGGGGAACTAAACCCTAGACTCACGTCGAGCCGCTTCGGTGCCGAGCCTTCGGGTCCTTCTGCACGGCCGCCACCAGCTCCAGCTTCGAGATGGAGCCGTTGCGGTCCGTCTGAGAATCGACCAATGGCTGTGGTTGTCAACACCAAACAGGCACTAAAGCCTGCCGTCCATATCCCGGCTTAGTCTTGACTCATGTCGGAATTCCCAACTTGGTACGGCGACCAAACATGGCTGTGGTGGTCAAAACTGTTTTGGGATCCCATTTTGGTTGGTAGGTGAATTCACCACCCATTTTAGAACCTATAGTGGTTGGATTGGAAGTTCACTGGGGGTACGGGATTCGTCTAAAGGCATGTCCACGTTCCAACTTAGACACGACAAGGAAGCCAACAAGAGGGGCTGCGCCCTTGAATTGTTTCGATTGGCTTAAACTCCACGACTTTCACAGCTAAGCAGTATTTGATCAGTGGGTTGAAGGGGGGGGAGAATCGACCAACGTTTTTGTGTGTTTCCTCTTATTTTTTTTGCTGCGGGGCCTGAACCCTCAACCTATCCGACTAAAAATCGGTTGCCCAAAACATGAGGTGATGTCCCTTTTTCCAGAGAAGTTCGAGGGTCCGGGGCTCTTTGTTTGGATTTGGACCGGGGCATTTCCCTTTTGTAAACAAAAACATGGGGACGAAAAGATAGACCCGTATAAACCCAAAGCCACATTCCCATGTGTCTGTCTCTTTTTGGAGTTGGTACCCCTTTTTAGATGGCCGACCAAAAGGAGGCCGAAAGGAACCTGTTTCCTTGTCCTAGAATGGAAATTCCGACCCCTATTTTGCGACAAACCCATATTATAGGTTTATAAGCCCAAGCGAACGGAGGCGGCCAAGATATACAACAAACATGATGCTGAGTGGGGATTGGGTGCTATGAGAGGCAGAAGCCGCAGTGTAGCTTGGGAAAAGCTGAAGGAAAGTCTTGCAAGGAGCCAAAGGCAAGTCAGTCTGCTCTCTACTGGGGTGCTCGTTGCCAAGTTAGTAAGCTGACCGCTAGATTGTAATCCACTCACAAGTCCCTCGTTCAGTGGGGTTAACCCTTGTTAGGGGGTTAAACATATAAATACAAATGGCCAACTGCAGACACTAACTTGGCTGGCCGAACATCCACTTATCTTCATGCAGGGGATTCAGGGGAGTTTCCCCGGCTTGCGCCAGCAACTTTCTGTGACAGTTCCCTTTTTGACGTCTTCCTGTTCTCCTGGAGGGGGGCATGGTGGGGGCATGCTCGCTTGAACCAAGTTTGCAAGCCATCCTGCCGCACAGTGGAAGGGCTAACGCCGGAAAGACCCAAGTGGACCATGCTGCAGGAAAATAATCCATCAAAAAGGGTACCTGGACCCTCAAACTACCCAAAAAAGGAAAGTCACCCCATGTTGTTGGGCAGCTGGAGGGTGCCTGGAGGGTTCAGGCACACCCGAATGTGACGCCATGGTCCGAAGTGGACTTTTTGCCCTGAAAATGAAAAGGGGACGGGTCTCCATGCCACCCGTGTCCCAACCACTGCTTGGTTCTATACCAAGGGCAAGGTTGGACATGGATGGAAAAGAAGAATGGTTGGGGACAGCTGGTGGTTTATCCACCGGCTACTTCATTAGGGGTCCATGTGATATCTTACATCGGAAAGCAAGCTCAAATTCCAAAAGTGACGATCCCTCTTTTTCAGCGAACACCTGGGAAAACCAATGTTTATAGCGTTACCCAACAAAAAGGATGGCCCGTATTGAGTCAAACTTAAAGTCGAAAATGATGTCAAAGAAACGGGCTCAGACAGGGTATAACTCTTATGCCCCCCTGAAACAAGCAACTGGAACCACCTAGACCACAAAAACTGATATCGGACCCTCATATGTGGATTTCCACCACCGGACCATTTCTTAAGTTCATGGATACTCCAGGGACAAGCCCCCCAATGTTCACTCGGCCAGCGCACATCGATGCGCTCGCAAATCTCCCGGACCTCTGCCTAGCGACGCAAGCCGCTTCTTTCGGGATGCCTTCGTTTTCTGAAGGCATTCTTTAGTTGGGGTGCCAACCGGATATGGTCTTTCTCCCAAATGGGCACCCAAGAACCATCACGACTTCAGGAGAGGTGCTCGGTCCCAAATTTGAACATGCGCAAACTACTGGCTGTAAATTGGTTGCACATGCCAAATACCATCAATATATATATATACATATCGATCTATCGATCTATCGATCTACCTAGTCTATCAGTTGTACTATCATATCACCTCATCTATTCCTATGGAATCTCATCTGTCTGCATAATATTACACGTGCATAGTCATCTATATATATATATATAGTATTGATATAATATAATCTGTTTCATATCATCTCACCTCATCTATTCCAATCTAATCTAGCATGTCAATAAACACATATTATATCCTGGTATATAGTGCATGGCTCATAGTCTGACATACGGCGCTCCGTCTCCGTGAGCTTCTCGCAGATGGTGGCGTATGTACCCTAACCTTCATCTGTACACGTCTCCTGCGCGGCTGCGAAACGGGACCGTACCACAAGAGATGGCATGCCGACTGCGAGCCAACCGCAGTCTGCTGCTACTGCTTGTCGTTGCGCTCTCTCATCTGCGACGTCTGCCGAGCTTGAGCCTGTTTCCTCTTAGCAATCTGATGTCACATCTCGTACCACGCCAAGCCGGACTTGACAACCTCCATGCCAGCTTGGCTGCCTTGATTTTGGGGACGGATGGCGCTAAAGCTTGCGACGGGGCTGGGGAAAGAAACGTCGCCGGTTCGCGGAGCAAAGTTTGGCCACCTGACATAGTCCTCATTTTAGCGGAGCCTTCAACACATATGGCCCATCAGGTACCCTAGGCCAAGGGTCACTGGGTGCCACTGAAACCATCGGTTTCCACTCGAGGTTCCAACACGGAGGAAACCCTGCAGGGCACCCAAACGGTTTGGTGGCCCAAACGACCCTCAAGCGGCCCTGAAAAATGGGTGGGTGCCACATATTGCCACAAAACAGCATGGGGTGAGTTCCCTTTTTTTTGGGGGGTAGTTTGAGGGTGCAGGCAGACGACTGAAATTTTCAATCCCCCGCTCGGAGGTTCGGGATGGTTGAAAGCAACCAAGTCCGAACCACCCGTTGGGTCACCGGATTTCAGCTGTTTCTGGGCAGTAAGGCGGACCGTTTGTTGGTAGATGTTTTCTTGGAGATGTTAGAGAGGGTTCTGCTCAACTGGCGAGCAAACCTTCCCCCGGCCCGTGATATGGCGCGAAAAACGATGGGCCAAACGAATAAATCCGCCGAGCAACAAGTGAACTAACTTCTGTTGGAACGCTAGCAAGGCAAAAGCATAGGTGCCTACGCTGAAAGAAACTGATGGGTGTCCCTGCTAAATGGAATACATATAACCCGCATAAAACCAGTGAAACCCTGCTATTTCAATCCAAAGTGACCGAAAGTCAATGCAGTGTGCAGCTTGGCTTTTCTCACTTCTCTGGCAAACACATCTTGGAACTCAATTTCTTGATCCTGGCACAACTACTTCATGGCAGCTGTGCGTGTATTCAGTGTATTCCTTGTCCGATGCCCCTTTCAAGATTCTTGCGCGGATGGCCTCCCTTTTCAGGGATCCGGATGCAGTATACACCGATCGAACATTGCAACTTGTAAATGGTGGCTTCTTTTTCTTCATTTTGGTGTTGGAAAAAAATCCACATGTTTCAAACGGTTGCAAAATGTATCGATCATTTTTTGGAGCCCTGCTTTTCTACGAACCATCCCCTCACTTTTGCCTAAAGGACCTGGTTGTGAACCCCATTCAGCTTGGGATCATGGCGAAGGCGGACTCGAACCAGGTGCCCTTTAGACAAAACCCCGCCAAAAGGGTAGGGGAATGTAGAGAACACATGGCCAAAAAGGGAACATATTCGAGACATATAGAAAAAAGTCAACCTGGAGTCTCCTTCTGACCCTTAAAAAATGGTTGGTCATTACCCAAAATTCAGGGGTCATGGACCCATGTTTTTAAGGGTCATGGAGACTCTAGGAAGACAAAAAGGGGGATATAAAAGACCTGAGAATCTGAGGGAGGAGTCCGAAACCGAGGCCCTGGCACTCAACTCATCGAAGGACTGGCGGCGATTTGGAGGCGGCGAAGGCTTCATGAGTCTGGGTAAGCTACTATGGTCCAATGGGACATGAGGCAAGTAAGGGACCTTTACAGTCCTACCCTTGGTATGGTCCGGTATGGTCCAATCGAACATGAGGAAAGTAAGGGACCTTCACTTTCCTACCCTTGGTATGGTGACCAAAATAACCATGGCTTTTTGCAGCCCCTTACTAAGAATGAACAGAACGGACAAATCCCGAAAACCTGAAACACGTGCCAAGGATCGCGTTACCCCCGAGGAGGATCCAAAAGACGTGCCTCACCTGCCTGTCTTGAGGCAGCCACAGTCACCAGAACTACAAAAAACGGCACCTGCAAGAAAAGATGTCTCTGGCCTTCGTGGTTGCCATTCAGGGGACCCTTCGCGGTTTCTAATAAAAAGACTCCAGCTATCAAAGCACACTCATGTGCATCATCCCACCCCTTTGTCAGAATCCATGGGTCGGCCAAGGCGTTTTCATCGCCAAAAATACCGACCTGTTCCCATCGTTTCAAAGCCCTAACAGAACTCTGCCAGGCGCAGAGTTCTGCGAAACACAACCAGTTGACCTTCTGGACCCGCAGTGTACACCCGCTGTAACGGTAACCCTTCGGTTATAACCCACTTCTAAGTATCATAAGGGGATTACATACCTAACCACCTTTGGCCGAACCTTCAAGGGCGGTATACCTATCCACCTACTAACTTGGACGAAGATCCAAATAGAAAACCGGCGACGGCGACGGTTTTCTCGTCGTTTCCGCGAACCGAGTGCCGTAGCCCAACCTTCGACTTGCCAAAGCCCAGCTCGGAGCCATCCCAACCTGGGGCGAGAGACATAAGCGCCGGCACCAACTGTTACACAACATGTCAGGTGTCTTAAAATAGGAAACGGACCCCCCAAAATGGGGTAGTTGTCCTTTTGGTGTCCCTTTAAACCAACCCCCCAAAAAAGTATCCACCAAAAACACCTAAAGAGTAGATCAAGCAAAGGACTCACAAGGACACCGCCAATTGTCGCTTTCCTTTAGGTGCCCTTTCCCGTCCAGCAGCAAATACTCAGCCGGCTCTATTCCAATCAAAGCCAACTGCATATTTAGATCCGAAGTGTCCCCCCACGCAGCGCTTTTCGCGAGATTTTGAGATAATAGTAATTATCAGCAGTGTTCCGTTTCTCTCGGGGGAATCATGGCGGCTGTCTCGCACTAACTGACCCTGACCCTCCTTTGCGCTTACCTACTTTGGTCTTACCAGATTCGCGCTCACCTTGAACGGCGGCGGAGGGGTGCGCCCCCGTTCCAGTTTCCTAATAAGCTTCCCCACCCAAAAAAAACGGTTTCCTTTTTGGTCTCCCCACTTGAGTGGCCAAACAAACGTGCCACCAAAATTATCCAAAACCCAAAAAGTGCACAGTCCAGAAAAAGTTCGTCTCCCGTTGAGCCAACCAACACCAGGCCCCAAAAGAACAACTGCCTCCATCTTGAAGAGTCTAGGGGTTGATTCCACTTCCATTCTTTTCAACCATCCTTCTTTCCAAAAACTCGCCATTTTCCCCTGGGTTTCCGGAGGCTTGCTAGGAAGGATCCCTGGAATGGAAAAAGTACCCCCAGGAATGAAGAAAGAACCCCTAGGAATGGAGGTCGAAAGCAGACTGAGGCCTCCGCTGGAAGCGGTGTAGGACTTGGTCACAGGGCTGCCATCTGTTGAAACCTGGCCATGCAGAACTATGGCCATGGGTCGAAAGCCAAATCGGTTAGCCCCCAGTGAACATCCACCAATCCAACCACTAATATAGGTTCTAAAATTCTGGGTGCGCCGAAAACCCCCCACAATGGGATCCCAAACGGTTTTGACCCACAGCCACATGTCGCTACAGAACTCCTGGTAGCTCCATAGCTCCCTCTTAGCCAAATTTGGATACCCCTAGCTCCTTGGCTCCCTTCCAACCACAAGCTAGGAACGCCCAGTAGCGATGAGAAAAGAGGGCGCCTTGTTTCGGTGGTTCATTTTTGCGGTGACCTCCCTGCCAGTTAATGCAGAAAAGGTCACTTGACTTGATGTCTGCGGCAAGTTCGACGCAGCGATGCTCGTTTGTCCATCTTATCCAGGCGTTGGGAAAAGCACACCTGAATTCAAGATCTTGGGAGAGGGGAGAGCTCATTCAAACTTTCTATCTCCGATTTGGGCAACCTTGCAAGACGCAGGTGGCTCACGGACAGGCGTGCCATCGAACAAGTGACAAATCCACAAAACAGCAACCCCAACAGCAACTGGTTCTCTAAATAGGGGAACCCCTCAAAACTTGGTTGTTGTGACCCCCCTGCAAAAAGTTTAACTTTTTGGGGGGTTTAGTGAAAAAACATTTGTTTCCCAAAAAGTTAAAGTCTAAAGATCCAACCCAATAGCAGTCAAGAAAATGTATGGTTTACTGTTGGTGTCCCTCAAACCAGCCTTGTTGCAACCAACATAAAGGGTGTCCGTTTCTAATGGACTCCTCTGCCCCTCAAAGTAGGGTTTACCTCCCCCCCCCGTCTTCTGGAAAGTATCGAGGGGCCCAAAGCGGAGGAGAACCTCTTGAATGAAGTCTCTTGAGAAAAGCAAAAAAAGTCATGGGTCTCCTGTTGCAACACCTTGCTATGTTGACAACTGTTCTGCTGGAGGGAAACCATGGATTCATCCTATTGGCTTGTCTACATAGAACCGCCCTGGGTTGAATGACTTTCCATGTCAGCGCACCTTTTGGTGATTTGGGTCGTCTCTAAGTCATCACCCCGGATTTACAAACCGAGGATGTTGCCCCTCAAAGTATCTTCTCAAAGTGGCCCCCCTCCCCGCCATGAATCCAGTGGTTTACCTCCATGTGCGAATGGGTCCGCTGGAATAAATGACACTATGCCCAGAGGTTCGAAGTAAATTAGCAGGGGGAACCTATTCCCAACAGCACCCCTTCCGGAACCCTAACCTGGCGCCAATCTGAACTCTGGGCAGGAGACCCCAAAGCTTCCAGCTGCTGGGGAAAATCATCTGACTTCGGTTTTCTGCCAAGTTAGTAAGTTGCTGGTAACCTAGGTTATAACCCACTTGTAAGTCCTTCGTGAATATGGGAATAGCTTTGTTGTTACGGGGTGACAAAAAAACCCAATTCGCTAACCACAAGCACTAACTTGGCTCGACATCCGAGCAATGAAGAGCTTCTTGAGCAATGGCTACGTCTGTTTTCGAGGGGTACCCTTGTTCTGGGAGTTTTGAAGGGAAACTCAAGGACCACCGTTGTGCCAATTTGGGGGATTCAAATCCTAGAAATAGACACCTGAACCCTCAAGCCACCCATCAAAATTGGTCATTGCCCCTGTTTTTCCTGGGCAGCTTGAGGATCCAGGCACCAAATGGAAGCTTCTCCACGCGTTTCGATGGGCCAAACACCCCACGGCTGGCTAACTCAACAGGGTCAGCTTCCCGCGCGCCTTGGAGTTGGATTTGGACACCGGCGAGCCGTCAGACATCATCTGGCGCAATGGGTGTCAAAAACACGTGGGGGGGCCGAAAAGTATACATGGACCCTTCAGATTGTCAAAAACAAAATCGGGTTTGCCCGATTGTTTGCCGTTTTTTTGGGGTTGGAGGGGGGGGTATTCCTTAAGGTACCCTTTAAGGGTAAGGGTTTCCTCAGAAGACACAAACACGAAGAAGGAAGAACGCGTTACTTCGCATTCAATCCCCACCGAAGAAATGTGTTAAGGGACCCCCCCCTTTTGGGTGGTTTTCCTCTTAGCGTCCCTTGAGCAGATCACCGATTCAGGTAGTGCCGTGAACAACTCCGACTTCGGCATTGCATAGCCACCAAGCAGAAACATTGCGCTGTGGCTATCCAGCAGCTGCTTCGGGAAGGGTTCTGTCTTGGTAGCAAAGTACTGTGCCATCTCTGTGAGGTCATTCGAGAGCTTGCTTGCCATGGCTTGGCCAGCAGCCATTTTCGCCAAATGCTCAGCGAAGATTGATGGTACGATGTCAACCCTCTGAGCACCATTCCCTGACTTCTGCTCACAACGCGACCTGTGACAAGGTTGAGGCGGGACTGGGTACCAACTGGGTGTGGCTCAAAATTAAAGAGCTGGGGTTACTCGGGTTCTAGTCTTTGGTTCCACTTACCAGGGCAAGCCATTTTGGCACATTCATTTGAGCCACAGCCAACTCAAAACAAAAAAAAACGGGAGCCACCCATTTGCTTGGCTAAAGACTGAAGTCTTTGGGCCGGCACTTGTCAGCTGTCACTTGTCAGATGGCTCTGTCGCTTCGTTGGTCGGATGACACCATCGAACTCAACCCAAACCTGCCGGGTGGGGCACCCATGGGGTCGGAACTCAACTAGGCCGATTTGGCCCAAGCCGAAGCTGCAAGTGCGCAAGTGCCAATGAAATCCTACGGGACACTCCGTTAAATTAAAGGAGGAAGCTTGGCCTCCGGAAGCACCCAGCAAGACCGAAAACTTGATCAGGCGATTCTGCTCAGCGAACTCGCGTCCTTGCGCCTTGGGAAAGGCTGCCAGATCTAGAAGGACACCCTCCCTGTCCCGTGCCCGGGTCCTGACTTGCCTTCTTCAACCATGCAACCAAAATCCGGTTTGTACCGCAACCAAAAAGGCATTGGTTTGGGACTCGTGCTGGTTTTAGTTTACCTTCAAAGTGCAAATGATGGGCTATTTACCACGCACAAATTGAATAATACTCGTTAACAGGTACGGATGTTGCTATCCGAACAGCCGGGCGTCAAGCGAAAGCGAGAGCCCTACCTGTCTGGATGGATCTATTGTCCGGATGGACACATCTGGGTGCCTGGACCCTCAAACTACCCATAAAAAAACGGGACATCCTCCCATAAGTTTGGGCAATAACCCATTTGTGTGGGTATTTTGAGGGTTTGGGTGTGTCTTTTTAAAGGTTGGACCTCCAAAATGGATTTCGGTTTTCCTTTGTTTCCCCTTAAAAACCAAGCAAGAGAAGGTACCGAAGAAGACACACCCATCTGTATGTACTTGTACGCATGGTATGCGCAAAACATGGTATGTACACGTTGGTGCCGCGCACTACATACTTTGCATGGCTGTCGCTCGGTTCTTCCGCCATGTGTGCAAACCCTTCAAGGAAACACCTGGGTCAACATCTGGCTAGCATCCAGGAACCGGCTGCTTGCTCATGCAGTCAATGACAAACCCTTGTTCCCACAACTTCCTGCTGCCTCTATTTAGCTTTGGTATCCCTGTTTGGCGAGCATCCAAAAATGTCCTCGGCCCTCGGTCCTCCCAAGGAGGCCGACCCAAACAACTATCTTCAAATCCGGTGCACATGGCTGTAGCTTTTTTAGGGGACCCCGCAAATGGCGGATGTCCTCTTGGTTGTGCTTTCACCACCCCCCCCCCCAAAAAAAAAAAAAACGGATACCCCAAAAAAGACAGACCCACCCGGCGTAAACCAACCAACAAAACAACTCATCCGACACGCTCCCCGCGGCGGTTGCGACTTCCTTTCTGCGCGCGCCTTGCAAATCGGCAGGCCGGGGCCGCTGTGCACCCGCTTCAGCGGCAGCGGGGAGGGCACCGGGGGCGAGCCGCACGCTTGGGGCGTGGCGGAGGGCGAGGTCGGCGGCTTGGCGGACTTCGTCGGCGGCGGCGCGGTGGCCGGCAGGGACTCGGCGGAGAAGCAACACGTCGAAAATGACCAAGGGACCCTTTGAAGGAGTCTGTGTCAATATTGGGGGATCCCACAAAAATGGCGGTGTTGGTCCCTGGAAAACTGGTGGTTTCCATTTTAAGCACACATGACATGGAAACCCAAAGGAGGCTGTACATGTTGAAGGATGGCCCGACCCTCCGCGCAGGCTCTGTCGATCTTGGAAGGGGGAAGCAGGATCCAGCGTTTGCCTCTGGACCCCTTTGTTTCTTTCAGAAAAAAAAAGAAGTACAACTTTCGGGATGGTTCTTTTTTATTTCCTTCGATTTCGGGTCCAAAGGCAAAACCTACCAACGTCCCAGACCTGTTCTTCTGAGGGTGTCACTTGCGCCGCGTTTTGCAGTTGCACTGAAGTGGGCCTTTACCTTTATTCCACCTCCCACGCGGCAACCACCGCCCTAGGGTTCAACCCCCGCTATGGTGGTTATATGTATACCCCCCCCGGTGGTTTTCATGGCGGTAGCTGAACCCCAGATCTGGTTCTATATGACCCTCCCATGGCTTTAATGGTGCCTGAACAGATCCTCTGCCTGACCCCGAAGACGTGCTCTCGGCTGGGGCCGACACCACGCTAGCAGGCAAAGTGATGCGGTATCCGCCTGACAGGTGTCCAACTAGCTGCAGGCTTGCAGCTTCAGGAGGGCACCAAACGAGGCCCTGCTTTGGTTCTAAAACGAGGCCCAAAGGAGCACCAGTTTGCGGGTGCACAACTATTTAAGACACAGAGTTCCGGATCTCAAATCGCTCGGGCTGCTTTGATCCGTGTTCGGAGTGGCTCGGAGTCTGCAAAGTAGTACGCCCCAAAGACTCGCACGGATCGCCCACCGCAATCCCCCCCCCCCCGCGCAGGTTCCAGAGAAGAGCCTCCGTGGTTTTCGTGGCTCGGCACTTCCGGGGCTCCCAAGGCTTCGTGAACCTGGATCAAACATGGGGGACTTCAACCTGGACCCCTCAAAATGGAGCACTTGTTTTGGGCTGTTGATCTGTAAAGCAGAGGACAGGGCCGGGAGAGGCGGCTCTAACTGTTCGTTGATTTTAACCGGAAAATCTGCGGTTACTTCGCAGGTAATATTTGAAATAACCCTGACATTAACATTCGCAATAGGGTTGTTGTCTCCCCAGTTGACGGTTATTTCAGAAGTGCCCTGGCCCGAAGCGACCATGTAGTCCATTTTTATGTGCAGTTTGAAGGTCCAGGATGACGAATTCCTCATGTTTGATTCGGGTCAGGAGATTTAGGTAGATGCAGGACAAACAGGTGGGATACCACGACTCGTCTTGGCCACAGTACCCATCGATTGCAGGAAACAAGCGGCTGCAGCCACGTGCTTCTCTATTCTTGGGTTCCCCTAACATTGTGGTTTTCCTTGTACGAATTTCCTTTAAAACGAACCAAAAAGGGGTACCCTCGGGAACACAAAAAAAGGGACACAGCTAGATTGCCGTGCTGAAAGACGGTAGAAATGGGATTGCCATTGCCCATCTCCCCAGTCAAACAAGTAGCCCTTTCTTGGGTCCCGTCCAATGGTGGTCCAATGGTGGACCTATGGTGGTCGCCTGGTTGTGGTTCATGTCTTCCGGCCCTGTGTTGTGGTTTGGGGGGCGGGGGCTGCCTTGCGGGTTCAGAGATTTGGTTTTTCGGGTTGGCTTCGGGTTGCTTCAGAATTCAGTTTCGGTGGGAAGTCGGCGGCCGGGTCCTGAGCACCAAGCACCCCTGCTTGCCTTGCGAAGAAGGCTGCACGAAACCTGCTCGAAACGACACCGCCCCGTCTCAAGTCGAACTTGCGCCATTTCACCCAGATCGAACACATGCCAGATTTGATTTCTCAAAAGGTTGCCTGCCCTTTTTGTCTCCGGGCCCCGGTCTCCGGGCCCGGGTGTATCTTTTCAAGGGACCCCCCAGACATGGCTTCGCCTTCGAAGCCCCAAGCCCGAAGTCCACGAAGTGGGCCTTTGCCTTTCAGTCTCTCGGAGAAACCGCGCGGGCCTAAACCCTCAACCCGCCATATGCGTGACTGCCCTGTAAAAAATGGTGCGATTCCCATGATGGGTATCGTTTGAGGGTCCAGGTGACGCAAGGGCATCTAAAAAAACCGGTGTGTTTGTTCAAATTGCACAAATTACTCATCTCTTCTTGGTGTCCCTTTGGGTAAATTCAACATAGCACCCTGGTAGCTGCAGATACCCATGGCACTGTGGGGACACTACCGACCGACTCAGACAAATCCCCTGAAAGAAGAAGTTAAACTTGCTCTTTGTCTATTGAGGATCCTCCAAAGTTGAAAACATGGGTGGCTCGTCAATTTTTAGGAACCGGACCCCCCAAAAACGGTGGTCGTCCTTTGGATATTCCTTTGAAACACCAATTGTACCAAACCAAAAAAAGTAGACCCATGTGCTGGCATTGGCCAAAGTTCACCTGTCATGTTTGGCCTCTGGAGGCTCACTTTCTGAGTTTGGCCTGAAAAAAAAACTAGCCTCCCTCCCACACATGGCACCTAACAGGGGGTCCCTTCAAGAGGAAATTGATCTTCCAGGGCGAAAAGAACAGGTGCTTGTTAGTGGGAGGACGGGTAATGTATTTACCACTAAAATGGCGACCAATCCCAAAAGTGACGAAAGTCTATGAGCTCAGGGATGTACGGGAGTCATGATTTGGGGTTTGGAGCCCCAAAACGGTTTTCGTTTTGGACCCAACCTGGGAGGGAGAAGCAGCTCCCCAAAAAACAACAGGCATGGTTTTGGCAAGACAAAGATTTGCAGGCATACAAGAGGGCCTC